AAAAAAAAAAAAAAAAAAACCTACTAAATGACAACTCCTCCAATGTCCTTCCAGACGTTTCCGGGAAAAGAAAGTAGATGAAGACCAACTCGAAGGCCAGCCAACAGCAGTAAACCAGGAGCCATCGCCAACTAATTCTATCCAACCCGACAGGATTGACATATGTAGCGAAGAATGCCGCCCCGCGGCCATAAAACTGGAACCAAGAGAGGCCACGAGAGCGACCGAAGTAAGGGAAGATTTCAACCAGGTAAGCTGTGTTGTCAGCGAATGCTCAGCAGAATATAGACGGGGACGTACTGTAAGTCAAAGCATTGTAGCCCAGGTTGTATGCCGGGGAGTAGGCAAAGATGAAGAAGATAGTCAAGATCGCGGAAGCCCTGACCCCTGTGGTCAAGAACCGCTCCATGGAAATAGTCCACCCAATATACACGCAAAGCAACGATGTGGCACAGATTAAATACATCGTCCGCCGCTTGAACAGAGGCGCCGTGAGGGCTAAGGTTGTACCAGTGACCAATCCCCAGCAAGCAATACCGATGTTGATCTTGGACTTAGTCACTCCGTCAGTGATGCCGACCATATCTAGCAAGTCGCTAAGATAGTACCTAGGCATAATCAGCAACGATCGCTATATCACAGGAAATAAGGCATACGAGATCAATGTATTTCCGGACCACTGGGTAAACAATCCCAAAAACGCGGAGATGAGCATCCGACGCCGCATCCCCGCGGTGCGGAACATGTCCCACCAGCTTTGTTTCGCCTGTTCGAGCTCGAGCTTGATGGTCCGTTCAATCTGGGCAATCTCCGCGCGCACGATAACGGAGTTTCGGTCTCCCTCAGCATGGTATCTGGCCAGAATGTCGAAGGCTTCTTCGTGTCGGTCTTTGCTGATCAAATATCGAGGGCTCTCCGGCAGGAAGCTATACACGTTAGGGAGATATTGCCAGTATGGGATTCAGCGCGACCCTGCACATACAAAACAAATACCACCTGGATCATAGCAGGAGCCAGTTGCAGCAGTGACGGGATCCTCCACGCCCAGTTGCTTGCGATAGTGACTGTGCCCAAACCGACGGAAGCAGCCACGATTTGGCCGATGAAATAGGATGAGTTAAACAAGGACGTGAGGATTGGTCGTTCCTTGGGATAACCGAGTTCACCGATGAGAGAAGATCCAGCCACAATGCAATATGGAATTCCGAATCCAAGTAACATGCGCGCTACTATGTACATTCCAACTATTCAAATTAGCACGCGATGTCTTCAACGAGTCAAAGATAGTTACCTCCGTTCGAGAACCCTTGTAGTAACGCACCCACCAAACTGATGCAAGACCCGAACATAATCGTCCATCTCCTTCCAAAACGTTGATTAATCCAGGGGACAAAGGGTAGAGCAAGGATAGCCCCAAGGGAATATGCCGCTCCTAGAAAGCCCTTGAGATTGGGCTCAACCTCGTACTCGGGCCTACCATCAACGGTATCACCAGTTAGGCGCCCGAAATCTATATATCTTGTCAGTAAGTGATTTCTTTTAGCAGTGAAGACACTAACATTTATTCCAGGTATATACGATCTGCACTGTGTTGATGATCTGTGAGTCAAACCCCGAGGTGATCTCAATGCCCATGCACGCGGGGAAGAGGATGAAGTATAACCGTCTCAGGTTGGGCTTCTTGTACCAAGGGATCCGGTCCTCAGCCAGCAAGTTGGCCAGGACCGGGTCCGCCACGTCTTCTTCTCGTTTCTTTCCCACTGCAACCATGTTGACGGCTTCCGGAGTCCTTAACCTTTGACAATGGGAGTGATCTAGACGCAGATCTTCTTTATATATCTAATATACAAAGACAGCACGAGCCAAGACGAGCCAAGAAAGACTCTTACCGCATACGAGACGGACATTACCACGACCAGTGATCGTCTCAGATACACTCATTTGCTGTTGGCCAGTGGGGAAGAGAAACCCTTGGACAGAGGCAGCAACCGAGGCCTCTGAGTGGAAAGCACACCGGAACTTAAGTGGGATTCCACCAATCGCTCCGGGTATCTCTACATTTAAGCCGGAGAAATCTCCCTAACCGACTGCCAAGAGGGGCCTAAGGGCCTGGGGTGTTATAGATTAGGAGTGAGTAGTGGTTGGAGGGACTGTCTTATACGAAAAAAGGATCACCTGCTTACCCCGGATTGTGTCAAAAGATCGGCTCGCTGGTGCCCCCACAGCATTAAGCTAAAGTCTGGGTAAATGGGTTCAAATTATCCAGAGTGGATCATCTTTGCGGCTAAGCTAAGGGTATAGATCACTGGTTATAATCCAAGCCAATACCTCGTCCGATCCACCCTGAATGTTCCCTTCGCCAAGATATTTTGACTTGATGTACCTATCAGAGCTTCGTACATACCCTCTTCGCTTTTCCACATGCCTTCGATTTCATCCCAGAAGCTTGTGGCGTATTTATCCACGCGAATATGGGCCACTCTTCCTTCCCCGGGTTGCAAAAGAACTTTGGTAAATCCGTGCAACTCCTTGGTCGGGCGAGGTGTGGGGGAATGAGGAGCGGAGATATACAGTTGGAGGACTTGCGCTCCAGCTACCTTGCCAGTATTCTTGATTTGTACAGCAGCCGTTAGCGGTTCCTCGGGTCTAAAGGATTCCTGGGAGAATACTACATCCGGGGACACGGTAAAGATCGTATAGGAAAGGCCGTGACTGCATAATTAGTAAAAAGTCCAACACCATGACAAAATAAACACATACCCAAATGGGAATAACACCTCCCGGCCGACCTTCTCGTAGTACCGATATCCAACATAGACATCCTCGCCGTACAGCACCCTTCCCCCCACGCTGGCGTAATTCAGGTAGGCTGGGTTATGTTTCACATCCAACGGCCACGATAGTGGCAGTTTGCCGGATGGGTTGACGTCCCCAAATATCACATCCGCGATACCATGACCCGTCTCATTACCTCCATACCAGGCCTGAACGATCCCTCTCGCCTTATCAGCCCAGGGCATCGTCACTGGCGTCCCGGACTGGTTAACAATCACTGTCTTGTTTGCCGCGACATCCAGCACAGAGGTGATCAACGCATCAATCCCAGGCGGAAGGTCCATATCCGAGCGGTCAAATCCCTCGGACTCCCATTCATGATTCAATCCGGTACAGAGAATCGTATAGTCCGCCTCTGCAGCTGCCTTGACAGCACTACGCACCATCTCTGTGGGATCGACATGTAAGCATGCTCCAAGGTGCGCTGCACCACCACCAAAGTGTACCACGCCGATTGCTTTCATAGGACTAGTATTCGCAGATCCATATTCGATTCGGACCTTGTAGGTTTGGCCCGCGTTGAGAGCCTTCGATCCCAGTTCTTGTACCGTTCCTTTGCCGAAGAATGCCGTCCCTCGGGTTTGATGCGTGGTATTGTCGACGACTAGTTCGTCATCGACGTACAATGTACCGGTGCCAAAGACTGTGAGGCCAAAGTCCCACACACCCGACGCATCTGGCGTAAAGTCACCTGTTAGCGTCGCATAGAATAGACCTCTGTTGAGCTCTGGCGCATTAAAATCCATAAGTTGAAAGGCGGTCTTCGACATCGGCTGTGTGGCGCGTAAAATACGCTCCTTAGTCCCTACGGGCTCGTTGTAAAAATGTATCACGGCATTACTAAGGAGCCGATCTATCACAGGTAGCATTTTATGCGCATAAGCGCCCACCTCGTGAAGAATCTCGGTGTGGGGAAGAGCTTCGCTCACAGCGTCGTACAATGAGACGGTATAGTACGGTTCCAGGGAAGCGCTGCCACCACCGGAGATCGCTGGAGTACGTACATGTGAGCCGATCAGGGCAATCTTCTTGATCGTCTTGGGCAAGGGTAGAAGATCATCCTTGTTCTTCAAAAGCACGATAGTGTTGGCACACAACTTTCGATTCAGCGCCCGATCTTCCGGATAGTCCCTTCCAGTTTCCACAGCGGATACCGGTGCTCTGCTTGCTTGCTGAACAAACTCAAGCACCTTTCGTGCGCGACTATCAATGGTGGACTCCTTAATCAACCTTGCCTGCACGGCTGATTCCACATATCGGCCTCGATACCGCGACGGACCCGGCATCTCCAAATCCAAACCGGCGTTCATTGAGTCAATCGTGGTGTAAGTTCCCAGCCAGTCACTCATGATAAGCGGATTCCACTTCCATTCCTGACGGACCATATCCAGCATCTCCTTACTCTCCACGACGTGCTTGCCGTTGATCTTGTTGTAGGAAGTCATCAGAGCCCCAGGACCCGCGTCACGGGCTACGATCTGAAAAGGTCGCAGGTAGATCTCTCTCAACGCACGTTGAGTGACAAGAACATCCACAGCCCTGCGCTCATGCTCCTGGTCATTGCCCACAAAATGTTTTACCGCAGAGATGACCCCGGTACTCTCACAGCCTGTGATCATCGAGGCAGCCATTCCTCCGGCGAGATGCGGGTCCTCCGCGAAAGATTCAAATCCCCGGCCGCCCAATGGTGATCGGGGCATATTGATTGTCGGACCAAGCCAACAGTGCGCCCCCTTTGCCAGACATTCTTTTCCAATCAGGACTCCCACTTCACGCAGTAGATCCTGATCCCAAGTCGACGCCAAGGCGGTGCCACAGGGCAAACAGGCAGCCGGCACACCGGCGAAGAACTTCGTGCCTCTTATACCATTGGGGCCGTCGGTGGAACGAACTGAAGGCACATTCAGTTCGGGAATGGGGTGGGTATGCCAGAAGTCGGTGCCTGGCTTAGTATTAGTGCTGACTCTCGGCCTAATGATCGGGGCGGGTGAGATAACCTGCGAGAAGGGCGATCTTGTCCTCCTGCGTGATCTGGGAGAGCACGTTATCTATGTCCAATGTCATTTTCGCGTCTAAGTACACATTTCTAGGAATGGACCCGACTCGTTTTATTACGAGTACATCCAACGAACAAGCCGTATCAATAAATACCCTGACGGCAGATCGACATCCTAGTGGATAACATGGCGGCCCTCGCCCCGAGATCCCGTCGGGTGGGGACGGACTCCGCACGTCAAACTGTCATTCATGGATAATTCGTGGGGGTTCAGTCTCAGAATTATTGACCCCGCATGTGGCATCAAGACAGGCGCCCCATCACGGTACGAGTATATGCCTTCATCTTGGGAGTTACCTTCCAGCTGCGTGCCACTGCGATGATGTTTATCCGGATCACGGGTTCTACCAAAGGTCCTTACCTAAGACGGCTAGCGTCGTCCCTGATATGATGTAGGGCTTAGGGCTACTGAAGTCAGCTTGGATCGATATCGATGTAGCTCACCTCCATGACCCTCAAACTTAAATAAAACATAGTTTGATAGCAAGAAATATCACGGATATTTCTGTAACGCAAATAATTGTCCTTGAGATACTCGTAGAGGCTTTTAAGACCTATTCCCGGAAGATATCCATAAGTTTGCTGATCGCTGCCATTTCTCCGAGAGAAGATATATATCTTCCAACCATACATTGACACTGAGCTTTCTAACTATATTCTGATTTAAGCCTCGGTCTACAATAGGAACCCCAAGAGCTCTCGGAGGATTGAGGACAGCATTGGATCAAAAGATCTGACACCAAGGACTTCTTAGAGAATTGTTACTGAAGACAGGCTATATGGGAAATTGTTCCGGCTTTGGGAACTGCAGTATATGGCGGACTATCATTATTCCGGCCCCGTTGGATTTGTTTATCGCGAGACGCGACGATCGGCTTTGTGGCAAAACTATGTCACTGAGGTCTTTATCATAGCGATGTGATCCAGACAGCACGCGTGTCGGCAAAAGCTAACATTATAAGCAATGACAGCGCGCATTGATGAACGCGATTAAGAACAGGCTGAATGAAACTGACTGCAGCGCTATCATTTAAGATTAGAACTATCACCCCGATCGAAACCTGTTGACTCTCGCGTTCCGCATCGCTCATACAATACGCGAAATGCAAAACTCGATCCCTTGTGCACCATCGCTGCCGATCGCTCCACCATGTAGGGCCTGTCGCCGAATTACCCGAAGTGTCAACCCATCCCGAACGGCCATCAGGATCGAGTGGACAATGACCCCCCAATCGCGCATTCATTGTTGGCGGTGAAACCTGGTCGGGGGAGGTCTGTCGAATGCGATACCTACGACAATCTCAGATCTGGTAGCATTGGACAAGATACCCATGGCAGTGTTGGCAATGGCGTCTTTGGTGATGAGAGGGTTACTAACCCTTGAGACATAGCACCACTGACCCTCTTGACGATGGAAGGCAAGGGAAAACGCACTGCCTTGATCGCGCTTTCGCTTTATAAGCGTTGATGAATCTGAAGATGAGCAGCGGGAAGTGGCTTGGCTGACGGAAATGGCTGGTGCTACACTTGGAGGGAGGCTTGCTATAGAATCTGGATATGGGCCTTTTCGTTGATGGGGGCTTCCCTGTGGAATAGCCCCTAGCCCTTGGATCACCCTGAACGATGGGGAGGTAGCGATGCCACTAAGGTTAGTTTAGATGTTAGGTAGTAGGGCGTTGTTTCTCCATAAGCAACACGTAAATTCCGCATACACAAAGCTTGTAGTTTCTATCAAGTTACGACCACGGGCTGCATTCTACCCGACGTCCGTACAGACCATTTCCGGCTTTTATATGCCCTTTGAGACTAGGCTAATCTATGCAGAATTAGAAAAAGGTATGGGGAATGATCTCAGCGACAGTTGCAGCGGTGTCTACCTATCAATTCATCCCATAGTCGAGCCATGCCAGACACCACGATCAGCTGCTCAGGAAAGTCTTGCTAAACTACGCCAATAGCAGAGTCCATTGCACATGTCATAAGCGTTATAGTCTGAGCTGAACTTTCTCTACTCCTGCAGAAGATTTTAAACTCATACAAGAGTAACCGAGACTGAGTGCTGCTTTATTTCGGGCAGTGGATCGGGGGGCATCTCTTCCTCAGGTTCTTCTGCCAGGACTCTTTTCGGGACGAACAGCCGTGGTGTCAGGTTGAAGACAGGCATCTTGCCCACAGAAGGCGAGAATCTCTCCAGAAACCGGTGCGATTTCTCCAAAAGGCGAAGGACGGTCATCAAAGCACCCCCAGACGTATCCTTTGTCAGGATTGGGGAGTCGATGATACCAACTCGCTCATAGACGTCACTGTCCTTGTCCGTACGTCTAACCAACAATCCGAACCGGTGATCCATGAACGGAGAAAACCCATGGTTACCATCTGGAAGGCGAGCGAGGAAGAGTACAAACAACTCGTGCTGGGGTAATACTGGCTCGAGTGTCATGTCAAATCCCGCGTGGAGGTAGAAAGACTCTTTTCCCACTTCCATTTCCACCACTTGATCAACGGTCGAATTTCGCAGAGGTGGTAAAAGCAACTCGGACAATGGAGGCCTATCATCTGCAGGATAGAGATTTTTGACTGGCAAGAGTGGCGCATGCAGACGAAGATACCCACCGCTGACAGTGCCATATAAATCGGGCCCGTCTTTCTTGACATCGCAGTCCACGAATGTTGCTAGTTGCTCGTAATCTGCAATGCCACGCTTCCACCTACATCTCTCGATAAAATGATATACAATAAATTGAACAGGTCCCTCGGCCGAGGCCCATGACCATGATGGGGCACGATACGACGTTGGCTTCTTGAGCGGCTCATCACGGTTCATTGCACACCATAGCAAACCTTCGACCAGGCCCTTCCTCCAGAGCCCAGCAAGGTAGACGTCCCTGGATGTCTGCGCTATTGCGTTTGCCACACCTGATAATGCAGGGAATCGGTCCGACTGGTGCGTGATGGAACGCTGGGTGTATTCCTCAATCATTTCGTACCATCCTCGATAGTTGACTTCCGAGTAGTCATCTGGGCGTGGGCCAAATATGGTCCTTTCGTTCGATGCCGTTCCTTTAAGACGGTCCAGATTATGGAGATTACCCGGTCTTAGATCCCCATCTTCAGCCCGGCTAATAGCTCGACACTCCCAGAAGAGCTGTCTTGCACCGTATAGTAGAATGCGCTGGGCGAGATACCGCTCTTGTAAGCACCAGGCTCTGCTCTGGAGTGGCTCTGATGAGACCGGATCCCGGCCAGACGTCCATCGCTCTCCAGCTGGAGGTAGTAGGGACAGAGCCAAACAGCTGGTGCGTCCGTTGTGAAGGGTTTTCGTCCAGTTAATTGAACCCGGATGAGCTCGAGGGCCAAGAAAACCTTGATCATCCGCATTTGAATTTGACGCTCCGAGCACCACGAAGGCATCCATGTAGACTTTCGCCATTCTGCCGGCTTCAACCTCCCAGTCATGCCGATCGTTCTGGACAATACAAAGTGTATCGATCCAGAGATACCGTATCCCAAGCTGACGTGTAATGAGGACCGCCTCTTGAAAGACTTGAGACATGTCCTCGATACGGACCTCTCGCTTGCGATCCTCCAGATTCTCAGTCGTTGTTGCGAATGGAATGCATTTCCCCCAGCAGTGACTCAAAGCAACGTAACGAGCAGCGCGATCAACTTTATTCTGGTCATCTCGAAGGCATACTAATCCTACATCAAGCCCCACTGGGCTGACATCAATTACCCGAGTTGGGAGTAGTGGTGGGTGCGAGGCGTCTGCACATTGCATCTGATGGTCATTGATGCATGAGTCCATCCAAGAATTGATGACCGAAAACGCCTGTTCACAGTCAGCTGATTGTGCGATAGTCCGGCCTAAGATCATTTCCGCCAAAGGGTCGTCTAAGAAGGATTAAGATTGAGTCGAACTTCAGAGGAATGGTGATTGCTAAAATTCCATACCATGATCGGTCGCTACACGAAACTCGGCTTGGAGAGTTAGACCCCATGAGACTCCCGACGAGATTGTGATAGTGAGGGTGGCGTTGGCCATTTCGCTACGCTGTGAGATGTCCCAGTCCTCCGCATCGTCTTCAGTTGATAGAGATGAGCGGAGTTCCAGCTCCATGATCATGGGGAACTCCAGATACCCTTCCCACTTGCGTAGAGGATCCTTCGTGTCCGTTTCCTTAGAGCTTGTCGGAGGAACTTCTCCACGGGCTTCCTGTTGTGCCGCTTCATGTTCGAACGACGTCTCCAAGCCTTGACGGACCAACTTGCAAAGCGCACAGTCTGACGGCGACGACGCAGTCAGTTCACTTAGAGATGAATACCATGGGATTTCCCACGACGACTGCGGCTCGTTTGACTCCTTCCAAAGGAGATGGCCTTGTTGGAGAAGGTCATGGAGCGGGATGGTCTTGCAGCGAGAACAGAGGGGATGCATGATTGGCAAGGAATGAATTGATTTGGGTGGGCAAATTTACAAATCCTCGTATACGAAGTTTCACACTAACCCTATTTTGTCCATCTGATCGGCCTTAGCTTCCTGCGCTGATCTCGAGGCAAAACTGATGGAGAAGAGTTGAGATTGTGTGCCTCACAAAGATTAGACCTTACAAAATTACCACTGTACATGCTTCCCCAAATGCTCACTATTCTTCCTCGGACTGCCATCTATAAGTCACAGATCCTGTACATGTTTCCCTAATCCTCAGAAAACAAGCAACGCAGCCCGTCCAGTCATAACTGCCAGGATCCCCGAAGAAACCACGAATATGGAAAACCGGCTCATGATATGGTTGCTAGTAGACTGCACCAGGCTGTGCACAATTCGAACGGCTACATAGGACCATGCCAGGAGAATGTCTATCTTGTCGTCCTTGCCGGCCAGGGCCAATACGAGGGCTATCGCGTAAAACTGGGTTGGTTGTTCCATGAGATGGTTGTAATTGTCTCCCTTCCATCGGACACTCGCCGGCGTCATCGCATCGAGTTCGCGCTTCGTTATAGTGTTTTTGATATTCAACTTGGAATATACTGGGATCCGTGCCTGGTACATCCAGCCCTCCATGACGAAAGTCCAGATATTGAGGGCGACGACAGGCGCCAAAAGGGAAGATACCTGGCCGGTGGACATCTTTGATTGGAATTGAAGCAATGTGTGTTGGAAGGAGAAGGTGGGATTTGGATTTTGATTCTGGCATCAGCAAGAAAAAACGTGCGGGCCGAGGAAGCATTTATAATCAATGAATATCCTCGGATATCAGTCACCTGATCCGCTGACGTGAAACGTTTCTGCCTTGACTATACGAGGTAAAAAGGACCAAAAAGTGGAGACGAGAGAATATTGCTCTATAGGAGATCGCTCTTGGACTAAGGCATAGAATGAAAATCTGTAATAGTATCACTAGAAACAAAGGCCTGCAATGCGGAGAACTCCATAGTAAAGGAAGAAAACGCCCGCAAGCAGATAGATTACTTAGCCTTCGAGCCCTGGGGGAACATCGAAGGGAAAGAGGTTACCAAAGTCTCCCAGACCAGTCGCAGCGAGAGAGTCAAATTCACTCCAGCTAGCCAGATCAGCGATATAAGACTCTGGGCTGATACCTTGTAGGGATCCCACTTCGGACTCTTGCGGTGCTGACGGAAATTGAAATGAACCCGCAGGCTGCACCCCATGATAGGATACTTGCGCCGAGCTGGGAAAATCATCAAGCCTGTCGCTTGTTACTGGGTATACTCTGGTATGTTGAGAGTCAGCCATGTTCCTTAACTGATTAAGCTCTCCGGGCCTTGATGTTCCACTCTCGGTTGCGCCCAGATCTGGCCTATCTGTGGGTGGGTGGTCGATTGATTCCAGGCTTCCCCGGATTGTAGCCTTTTGCGCCTCCTTGCGAAGCTCTTCCAAGACCATAACATAACGCTGGGAGAAGGATGACTGGGACCCGCATGATGCCAAGTCGTCTTGGCCTTGTTTTCCAGCCATATAGTACGTGGTATCTGCATCAGTTGTACTTTGGCGAGAGCGACTACGTATGTAGTGGACGTAGAGCACAACAATGGCGGAGAAGGCATAATAGTGGGTGAACTTCAACACCTGTCAGACCTTCAACTGATACTGAATGTTCGGGTTTCTTACCCAGAAAGCTCGGTACATCCTTCCCTTTGCAGACAGATCATGGACAATAGAAACAACCTTCATTGCTGCTTCCAAGCATGACTTAATATTCTGGTCAATCGTTCCCTGCAGCTTATCGTTCCGCCTACTAGGCTCTTTGGTGAGGAGTGTGAAGCCCTTCAAGAGAAACGGGCGATATAGCAAGATCTGTGCATGATAAAAGGCGAGATTTAAGACAGTGTATTGTCGTTGATAGGTAATCTTCATTATATTCACATTGGGAAGATCCAGGAACTCAGACAGTTCCTTTCGCCATTGTGCCATTTCAGCCCCGTATTTGGCTGCAGCCGAGGCTTGTGCCGTCAGGGTGGACCTCTGAATACCGTATAAGTCATGTAATACGCCGCTGATAATCTTGGATAGCTTCGCGTGGTAGACAGGGGCCAGCATAATGCTCTGAGAGCTAGAGGTTGGTGGAAGGATGGACGTCTGCGTTATCTGCCGATCTTCGGCAATCTCAGGGAATTCTTGGTCAATCTCGTCATCATGAAAGATGCGAGGGCGACCCAAAGCAGCACTTAGATAATTGTCCAAGCTATACGCACACCAAAAGACTCTCTTTGAGCACTCCTGTTCAACAAGGTTGACTGTACTCGGGTGCTCGCGTCGACGTTTCCGATGTAGGCCGATGGCGATAGCAAGACGAGCGGTGGTACCGAAGAGACTCCAGCAGTGGTTAATGCGAGAATGTGAAAGAAGATAGAAGCATTGTGCCAGACGTGCCTGCACACTGGTGACGCGAACGGGACCAGTCTCCGCTGCTAGATGGTGCTCCGACGCACCAAAGTAGACCGCACTGTTGAATGATGATGAGGGATCAGAGCCGTACTCGGAAAACCTGAATAGAGAAAACGCATTGCACTGCTGACAGACCTCATCCGTGAATCCTCCAATTTACCACCAGTCTCCGGCTTATACTGTGATGCTTGTGCGAAGACCATGAGGAGCAACGCTCTAATCTCCCGTTCTCCAGGCCCAGGAGAGTGAGGCTCCTGAAGACGGTTGTAAAATTCGTCAAGCCAGCATTCCACTTGCTGCTGGTGCAGGAACCGATGCGTGGGAAATGCAAAGTCAAAGTATCTATTGCATAGCTCTTTAGCTTCATTCTTGCTGGGCAGAAGTAGGAACGAAGGGTCCGATTTTGGTAGAGGAGCATCGCCAAAACTGAAAATGGGTGTATTCAATGGAAATGCGATGCTCTCATGCAGCCTTTTCTGAATACGAAGCAAGAACGAGACGCCTGAGGATGGTCCGACGTAATGACCTTCCATGTCAGTTTGATGCGGCTCCGGGGAGTCCCGCGACTGCAGGTTACTGGCGTCCCCATCGACACGAGACGCCGAATGACCTTCTATCACCTCTGTATCCGGGGATGCGGGCATCCGATCTACATCGGGGGCTGGTTTCTCTTGTATATGGCGGTCGGCAACATTGTTATTGCCCTTAGGTTGATGGAGCGTTGGGATCGGTGGCACCTTCCCTCTTGTATAGCTTGTGGTATATTCACAACTCTGACTAGAACGCTCACACAGAGAGCACGGAAGAGTACCTGAGCAGCGCAGCTTTTTCCTATATCAATGTTAGTCCCATTGAACTCGGATATCGTACCGGACTTTCAACGTGCCTTTTGCAAGCGTCGCACGCCCTGGTGACACGGACGCGCTCTTTGACGCATCGGCGCTTCTTCGGACGAGCACTAGTCGCCTCCATCAAAATTAAGAAGAAAGTGGTATATCCGAATGAAGGAGGTAATATATCTGGAATGGAAAAGGGGCAGAGGTTGAGTTACGGGACGGCAAAGCAAGGTGGTTTTCCGGAGGACGTTCAACCCCGCAATTATCCTCATGTCAAGCCCTAAGCCAGTGGGAACTAACAGCCTTGGAAGGGACGGGACGTCCAATTATCTCAAGGAGTTTGATTATAGACACTGCGGAGGATCCTACAAGGTGATCCATCCCTATCTCGTCCCAGCCATCGAGTCAAATCGGAAGTGTTGAATACAGCTCCATGGGAAAGCAAGCCTGTCTTGAGAAAGGTGACTGTTACTGCCAACATGCAAATCCCCCCAATTTGCCGAGTACCTTTCGCATAAAACCTATTATACCCAAGTTCACGTGAATCAGTATTGGCTACTTATCACTTCTTTCAAGCTAGTACGGAGTCATTCGCAAACACCATTAAGGTTGCCGTAATAGCTAGAGATTTATGATAGCTTTAGATGTGAACATACAGAGTCTGGGCCACTTTCTGCTATTTCCGATCTGTATTTTCCAAATCGTAGCCTAAATATGCAGTTTAAATGCTGTAGCCCAGAAACAGAGCCAAGCGTACAACCGAAGCCAAATTTAACCTCGGTCAATATGTGCTGAATAAACCCGGTTCAAGGTAGGGACTCAAACGTCAAAGATTCCTTGTCTGCTGGTGAACAAGCAACTGGGGCACTGTCATGGGGGACTATCGCCAACCCCATAGCCCACTGTTACTATCATTTCCGGGTTACCGGAAAACAATCCGGAAAAGCAAGAGGGGTTGGGATTTTCCGGCCCTAACTCGCCACTGTACTGAAGTCCTATGTGTTGAAAAAAGTTTTATTATCCTGCAGCAGAAATCAAATGTACGAACTAGTGGTAGTGTAAGTAGGAAAGGAGAATAATGACAACGAAGCAATGTACATTTCTCGCTACAAGGCGCTCCCAAAATTGTCCGCCTTTCGGCTTGATGCTAACGGTACTCGTACTCGATCTCCAGCCATGCAAGATGTGTCTCCCTTAATACTATCACACTAAACGCGCGCAACAGACTAAATCTCATTTTAATTCAATAGGCATAGAGGTTGATCACTCCCGAGTCGACTTCGCGAAGCTTTCTGTTCTCTCGCGCCAAGATTATTCGCATGACCCAAGCTAGGATGACCACCCCGACCGAGAATCCGATACTGCAATACATTGCGAGGGCAAACCGTGGAGCGTCACTGTCAGGCCAAAGGTATGGCGTATAGACGCTGGCCAGATTACCCAAGGTATTGGTAATGGCAATTGCGACAGCCTTCTTCTCATCTGTTTGGCCCAGCGTCGCAGCAGTCCACGCGATATTGATATTATTCACACCATAGGTGGCACCAACAAATAGAATCATGGCGAAGTACCGCGCACCAATATTCAAGGTCCCGCAGGCAAGCGCGAATCCAACAATGGCGAGGGCTTTTGAAACTGTAACATGCCAAGTACGTTCATTGAAGCGCCCCGATGACCATGACACTGCGACGGACGTGAATGTAGCCACAAGATATGGAGGGCAGGTGAGGACCAGTGTTATCGTGGAATTGAAACCAAGTGTCTTTACCACAGTCGGCATGAAGTTCTTGAATCCGTTCGCCGACAGATGTAGATTGCACATCAAGGCAAAGATCCATGTGCGGTAATCCATACAGGCTTGGCGGAGGCCAACCCACGTGCTGGTGCCTTCTTCTCTCTGCGTAGTGTCTCGTTTGATCCGTTCGTCGGCAAGCTGTCGCTCCTCAGTGGTGAGCCATGGTGTTGAGCGGGGTGCGTTGGGGAGAACGAAGAAGGCGACAGCAGCAACCCCAACAGTTACCACCCCTTGGATGAGAAAAAGCCATTGCCACCCTGCAAGGCCGTATTTCTTATCAAGGCCTGCAAAGACACCGGCGGCAATCAGACCCGAAAAGGCACTGGCGAGCATATTGCCGGTATAGAGGATAGCCATGCGGGTGGTCGCCTCCTTGCGGGTGTAGAATAAAGATATCATGAAAAGCGCCCCAGGGTAGAACGGTGCTTCGACGAAGCCGAGCAGTAGTCTACAGACGAGCATGCTGTGGTAGTCCTTGACCAGACATGTGAGAGTAGAGACAATCGCCCAGGCCATCATGAACCCAGCCATAAACCAGGAAGGCCTAACTCGATTGAGGAGCATGTTGGAAGGTACTTGGCCAAGAAGGTATCTAGGTCCGTAGGGTCAGTTGATGTATCATAGACGGAGCCATCGCTGTGGTCTTACCCAACAAAGAGAATGCTAATACAGGTATTGTACTCCGTCCCCTTTAAGTTTAAGTCTTCAGAGAGACTGTTGAGCTTGCCATTCACCATAGCATTGCGGTCAAGAAAGTTGAGGAAGTACATTAGCCAAAGGATTGGCTAGTAATCGTCAAAATGGTTCAATTTCCAGGGAGTTAGGGTGGACCAAACCATCATGTACAGATCAATCTTCCTCACCAAAGCAATCTCCTTGGGGTCGACTTTGGCGAACGATCCAAATCTGTCATACTGTGGGGTAGCCGATGCAGGCTTCTCAGGGTCCCCCAGGTACTCGACATGGTTGGTATTATCTTTATTAGTGCTAGCACGAAGAGGCGAGTCTGCCATTGCGGCTGAATTTCTTCTTAGAAAGAACAGTCCTTGATTGACAATGCTAACAGAGTATGGGCATGTCAACCAAAGGAGATGTCTGCTTTTATATCTCAATAGCTCGTGGGCTTGTGCTGATACGGAGGCTCCTATGTCTCCACATCTCCGCATCAAGATAATCCGGGGTAAATCAGTCCAAACACTATTCCCCACTGAGAACACAATTGCCGCCAAGAATGGAATGCCAAGCAGGTTGCGGGGGAGTCCAACCGTAAGCGATGTTTGTGAAGTCAAGCTGGAGGTCAATGTTCAACCTCCGATTGGATGTACAGATCATTATCGGATATGTCCATGGGTAACTGTACATTTCCGACACCCAATTGACCAAGCTTTCTTAATGCCGGAAAAAGTGCTGTGATTGCGCATGGATCACGTACCTGATGTGTAGGAAGCTAAGACTGTGTTGTGGGTTGACATTGTTCTGCCCAAGCAAAAGTCTTCTTTGATGATTGTGTTAAGCTACTGGATTGGGTCGGATGACGCTAGCCTGGCATAGACGATTGTCATTAATGATGATTTTCATAGGGAACTCGGAGAGCTACATGAAGACTTTAAGGATATAGTTTTAACCGTATCTATCTCACCCTGTATCATACTTTGCCTGTACAGCCCACATAAAGACAAGCTTGCCCTGTTTGGCCTGTCTTTCCCACTGACATCCAAGCGCATAGAGTTATATAGAGCCTTTTGGCATAATGAAGCGCCCGGCGAGTAGATCGAAAGTATGCAGCAAAGAACATTAATGGTCTGTGCGATTTGCGTAGATTCGATATCTCAGACGTTAATCACTAACCTCGGTGAGGGGTATACAATTTATCATGCCAGTGCCTGAAAGGCAATTCAGGTATTCAAATTGCGCATCGCCGCACTTTAGTACTGAAACCTCATGCCATGTCCGAAACTTCCGTTTATCCCCGAAAGTTTTTGCATGGCGGATGGCACCAGTATATATGGCCAGATGCGATGGATGCTTCTTGGCCCAACTTTCCAGATCAGCCAGGCTTCTGAAGAATCCAGTCACGCAGGATTCGTTTGACTGCCCTGTCCAATGGGGCGAAGACGTAGGAACGTTAGATAGGTACCTCAGTCCCATGGAGCCCGTCTCGGCGGGGTTTTGCCACAAGTATGCCAGCCCTTCCCGGAGAGTCGGTTCCAGTTTCTCTTCGTAGGAACGTTTTTCGTCGTCGTCGCAGTTGTTCCAGAATTGACCAGTCCGTATATGCACCACATTATGGACGTTGGTACCTCTGAGGCGCTTGCCCAAAGAGAGCGAGATATTGTCAGGAACAGCTGCCCCTGTGGGATTCACATCCCGCTCAAAGAGGTCAAATGCCGAATCAGGGATTCGATCCCGAGCGGCGCCCCAGTATGCCGAGTATGAATGCTCTACGGTCTTTGTGCCCGGTAGACGAGCCAGGCCAGGGAGATAGTCTGTTCCCGAATAGTTTGTCTCCAGACGAGAAACATGACTGACAAACCTCTCACACCAGAGGCCCACTGTCGGTTGAACGGACTTATCGAGCTCTTGGTATCGTTGAGTGAGATTCAATCGATTGATACTCTCCTCATACTTTGATTCCGCATCCCAGTAGCATACGAAAACGAGTGACTCTGGGGTGTCGTCACCGTCAATGACCCGAAAACGCTCCACCGCAGCAGGCGCGTTGTTCTGGTCTTCAGCAAGCCAGAGCTCGATCGCTGGGAGGCACTGCGTCAGCCCAGTATCGAGTCCGTTATGTCGTTGAATTCCAATGTATGCAGTAAATACTTTATCTATGCTGTTTCCAAAGTGGGTATACCATCGAGGTATAGGGGGAACATGATTAGCTGGTCGACGCAGAGGAAATCTTCTGGCGGGACAATCCATAACTGGCGGAGTAAGAGGTGGGATAATCACTTGCGATACAGACGCTCCTCACTGACGGGAGCACGCTACTTTAGTAGTCCATAAGGTTACATCAAGTGGATTTTGATGGATCCATTCTCAACAGTGGAGCAACTGGGGTTGGTGACGAGATCTTCAGCCTTCTAATTCTGGATGTCAACATGTCAGTGGCGGAAGGAAAGCGGAACGGGAGCGGAACGGACCGGAAGACCCGATTGGAGGCCGGAAACGGAGATGTTCCGAACCGAGGCCATCTTGATTGATGTTGAGTCGTGACCTCCCCAAGCCCTCGTTGTACACGGTAAAAAGGATTCTTCACTGAAGTTAGTAATACTGCTCGCATCTTTGTCGGCATAGGGTCATGTAGAGAACGATCTCTTTTTGCTGTGGATCGAGTACAGTGCAAAGGAGATCCTCTTACGCTGCTCAGTTAAGTTTCTTGGCTTGGGGTAGGTTTGGGGAAGCATAATGGTCTTTGCTATATATACTATCCTAGCACCCCTTGCCTCCTCGTTAAATACGTCTCTAAGCATCGAACAGTCATAATGGCCACTCAAATTAGACTTGCTGCTGCCCACGTCGCCCCCATCTTTCTCTCAGCTCATGAAACAACTCACAAAGCAATCCGGTTGATCGAACAGGCCGCTAGAAACAAGGCAAACCTCATCGCTTTTCCGGAATCTTTCATATCTGCATTTCCCATCTGGAGCGCCCTGCGCCCACCGACCGAGAACCATGACCTCTTCCAGCGGATGGTCCGGGAATCCATCCACGCAGACGGGGAGGAGATACAAGCGGTCCGCGCGACCGCGAGGAAGTGCAACATCATAATCAGCCTTGGCTTTTCGGAAAAGACCCGCACGAGTAGTGCAACATTATTTAACTCAAATATGATCATCGACAATCAGGGAGATGTTCTCGTCCATCACCGGAAACTCGTGCCAACTTTTTTTGAGAAGCTGACATGGTCGCCGGGGGATGGCTACGGATTGCGAGTTGCGGATACGAAGTTTGGGAAGATTGGGTCTCTTATCTGTGGGGAGAACACCAATCCTCTGGCTCGATATGCTCTCATCGCCCAGGGCGAGCAGATTCATATCTCGACCTGGCCAGCCATATGGCCGACCCGGTCGCCATCGCAGTCCGGCGTGGAAGAGCACAATCCACAGCCCGGCGCGGCAGAAAGGCCAAACTATGACAATATCGCCGCGAACAGAATCCGAGCTTCAGCCCATTGCTTCGAAGCGAAATGCTTCGGGATTCTCTGCGCCGCGGTGTTGGGACGCGATGCGATTGATATGATTGCGTCCAGTACATCTAGTCTCCAACAGTCCATGGAGCAATCCCAGCGAGCAGCGACTATGTTTCTCGACCCGACTGGGGCACCGATACGGGGATTCGTGATAGACGAAGCTACTTCAGCTTCCCATTCTGCCGATTTCCTCCAGGCTCAGGAAGGGGTCCTGTACGCTGATGTTAATTTGGATGACTGTATTGAGGGCAAACAATATCACGATACCGCTGGTGGCTACCAGCGGATGGACGTCTTCAATCTCCAAGTAAATCGGACCCGTCAACAACCAGTACGATTTACTCGCGTAGTTGATTAGAAGACAGAATCAAATAGCAGTTGGGGGTAGCTTCGGTCAGCATGTGCCAGGCTTTTACTGCCACAATCTTATTCAATGACCAATAAATACGCAAATACCGTGATCATTTATTCATATTATCTCTATGTTTCAAAGGCATAACTAGCATTAGTCCCCCAACCCAAAAACCGGACGCATATAAACAGCCTGGAAATGATTGACAGAGCCAAGTTTATCACAGAACGAAAGGGAGTAGCGCGGCTATTTATCGCCTCGCCGATATCTTCGTTGGCGACCAATTTCGGAGCCCCAAGCCCTCCAAGCCTACCCTAGACAGCACCGTAACCAGCAGCTTGGAACAATGTTTATATGTGCCCGTGGGACTCGTCCCTGCCAGGAGGCCTTCGAACGAGCAACTAAGAAAGCAGGCATAAGTCCAACAAAAGCCCAACAGCGACAATGGCATCCACTAAGCAAGGTCCCTTCCCCGTGACCACGCCCGGCTCTCACATTGTGCGCGTCGCCGCTGTGAGGGCTGAAGGCTGCTACTTTGACTTGCCTGTCGCCGTGCAGAAGACCTGCGATCTGGTCATCGAAGCCGCCAAGAAAGGCTGCGACATGATTGCCTTCCCGGAGATTCTGGATTCCTCCAACAGACCCATAGAAATTCGGACATCTGGCGGCCTGTATTGACTAACTAGAAGCCCACTCTGTCCCGGAAGTATCGTACTACTAAAAGAGCGTAATAAAATCCGATCCAAGATTGAGAACCCTTTACATAATAAGTGTGGGAGTTAGCTGAATTAAGTTCAACGTCCACCGGCTGGAGCTTTGTTGTGCCCAGATGTCTGGTAACGTCCGGACAGCTGCAGCAATATTTTCAAATTTTGTCTTTGCAAAAACCTGGTTCATCCGTTCGGTGAAATAGTGCCGGTGTTCTGGGTCAGAAGAATCCGCAGCAGCGATGAAGCACACCCAAACAAGGGCATGAGCACCTTCCTCGTCAGGGTCGACGCGTGACACTAACTGCTTCAAGCTCTCGAGTCGGTTCCACAGGTCGTGCTTGGTAGTAGCTCGGAGGATGTAAATTTGGGAAGCTTCTATAAAGGCCTGTCTGACCACCGAAAGAACCCTATTGTGCCTGGAGTCGGGGGGAAGTTCATAGTCGGTCCAGTCGAGGTAGTGATCCGGGTGAAAGCCTAGGGCATCCATGCCTTGGGTTTCATTAAGTAACGGCTGTCCGAGGAACTGAAACCTGTACTAGTCATCAGCGTCAATCCGAGAAATACAGGGCACTGCCGACTCACATGTGGGTTTGTTGTATAAGAAAGCGATAGGCTGACGTCTTCTCTATTTGACAGAGGCTCGGCATCAGGGAGAGTAGCGTGCGCAGCAAATGAGAGTACTGGGGACTGCCTGTGATGGTTTCACCTACTAAGAGCACAATGAGGATTGCCCACGTGCGAAGATTAACAATGCTGTCTGAGGTTGCCTGTAAAGAATCGCGTCGAAGTCGGGAAATGATCGCTGCACGGCCAATTTCTGCCATGTCTTGGAAACCTGGATGTCGTAGAGCCAGGTGCTGAGCCGCCACAACTCGAATCGCCCCACGTAGGACTTCATCTTCGCATGCTAGAGGTAGGAATATGTCCCGGTAGCCATTGGAAACATGATCGAAGATGACCATGACTGGAGCTACTTCGCTGGCGACTGGCACGTGTTAGTCGCTGGGTAGGAGCTGAGAGAGGTGTATCTTACAATGCGAAAGGAACATTCGGTCTTCAGGACCTAATGATGGAATCCATGGAATCACTGTGCTGCACGAGTTCGGAGCTGGTGACGGCCTGTCAAGACAACGTTCTCGTTCATCCGCGTCGGAAGGGTCGGAACTTTGTTGCCATTCCAGCCGACCTTGCTGGTTTGTGGCACCATCAGAATACTTGAGTGACTCGAACTGAGTTTCTTCACCTGGTGTATCTGGTGCTATTAGGATTTCACTGCCACGAGGCACTTCGGACTTTTTCTGAGACCCAGAATCAAGCCAAACTTGGCCATCCTTCCCCTCATTTACGGTCGGATATGTTTTAGCCTTTGCGGCTGCTGTTCCAGGCTTCCGCTTGGTACGCTTTGGGCCATCATCCTTCCATCGGATCTTCTGAGGTCTTGGAAGCCCCGTGGGTGACTGATTATTCGATTCCGATTCCGGCGGCACTGTGGCAGGAATCGCACATCCTTTCAGTTTCCCGCGTGTAGCTACGCCTGAGGAGAAGCGGAACCGACCGAGTCCCGAGCATTCAATCCCCTTTTTCTGACACTTGAAGCAGGTAGGATGGGCGCCGTCGCAGACAATCCGTCGCTTGGTACACTGAAAACACCCTGCAAGAGCACGTTAGCCGGATGACCTCGAAGCCCTGGGAAAAGACAACGTTGTCCGAAAGCGCACCTCGAGGCTTAACACTTCTGGAGCTCATCTAGTCTGGTGTTACAGACTGGTATAGAATGAAATGGCATTGTAGGAAAGCTTGAATGAATGCTGGAGATTATCTTGTGGGGAAATCCGACCTTACCCTGGTTACCGATCTTATCTTATCACCTCGGATTAAGGATATTCCGATATCATAATCTTATATCGTCTCCCCCACAGTTTCCCCTTTCCAGCTTTTGATCCACGATTCCCCCGCATGGATTAGCGTGCTATGTAGTAGTATGCTCTCTCTAGCAGCTGAGAGATATCTGTTCGGTGGAAATTTCCTACAAACGGCAGCCTGAAACCCGATTGGTTCGGCTGTTGCTCTGGTTAGCTTAGGATTTTGAGGACTCACATGAGGTGAGCCTGTCACTAGGGATAGGCCCTCTGACCCTCTCAGAGCGCTGATTTTAGCTTTGCGCAAGTAGTAGGCTGGGTAATACAGTTGCTATTTATGCGTTTACAAAAAATACAGAGATACCCAGGATTTTGACGTCTTAGACTATTTTCCATTGTTGTTATTAGCACCATGGTCATGAACAATATATAGACATCATCTGAGGTAGAAAAGAACTAGTGGCGTCACGCGCACTAAGCACAATAGACTATTCGTACAGAGGGAGGCGAGAGTACAGGTCAAGGAATGACAGGTCTTGATCGATGAAGTCGTCTTGGCTGAAGTGCATAAGGAGCTCGTCTGAAGCCGGCCCGATATTCTACATGATGCAGTTAGTATACCAGAAATCTAGAGAGACGGTGGGGGCGACTCTAACATGGTCTCCTACGCACAGGGTACTAGCTGTCTCCAGCATGTAGAAGAAAATTTGTCACAGTAGAGGGAAGGATACCCAGTGTATCAAAAACTGTGAGCGGTCTCTCGATGCAGCAGCGGGCTTTCTGGGTCATCAGGCTGTTTTTGCCAATACACTTCATGATGCTCAGAGATTCTTCTATCTCCTGTCGCATCTCAGCAACCGACGCGGTACCGAAGACGTCCGGGTCGTGCTTTTTGAGAATAAGCATTGCAAAGTAATGCAAGGTCGCCGTCAACACTAACCTATTTGTCAGCCAGGGACCTCATGGCTGTTGGATATACTACCATACTGGTATAGTTGCATGTATACCATGCAGCGAACGTGTTGGCGAATGTCCTGTGAGTCGTGCTAAGGCAACTAATTATCCCGGAGAGTTTGCGTACCGCGTCCCAGTCGTTCTGCAATACTTGAGGCAGTCTGTCCGTCAAGCGACCGAGTATTTGAGGCGCAGCTAGACCATCTGCGAGCAAGATCAGAAAGTACGCAATTAAGGGAAAGTTGAAAATCATGCGCAGCCGGTAGTACTGTATCGTTAGCAATATGCGCACAGCTACATGACAGTCTGTCGCTGTCGGTGATGATGCAAAGGAAGTGGTCAATAAACTGCTTGGTGTGAGGATACACATTGAAGGCCATTTCATGCAAGCATCGTCCGTCGAGTAATATCTGGCTGGAGCTTCTATAAAATCCGAGCCGCATGATCTGGAGCCAAAATCATTTAACTTTTTCATTTCTGCGGGCGAGGATGGAGAGGCAGCCCTGTGCCTCTGGATTGGAGTCAAGAAAGGTGTCGATAATAGTTCAGGAAACACAACCTTTTACCCTGGTGACTATACCCGTAGCCCAATATTAACTGGGAGTACAGAAAGTATCGTTATACCCCATAATCTTCTCGGGGAAAAGCTCCTACTGGTGAGTAGTCTTTCTTTCTTTCTTTTTTTTTTCTCTTTTTTGTTCTACCATACAGGAGAATTACAGCGCTAAAAGCTCTACCGGGGAAGAGAAAACCTCAAGAGAAAATTTCCCAACTTAACAGCAGAAGTCAATACAAGTAAAGATAAGGCTATACCAAGCAAGTCCACACGATCTACTCAGGGTTCCTGGGAATTAATTATTTCGTTAGATACTTATCAAGCAGAGTGTGACTTAGTATTTTAGGATTATTACCAGCCGAGTGAAACTTTTGTGGAGTCTATTAGTATCTTAGACCTACACCAGAGAACGCGCAATGAAATCAGATTCTCGGCAAAACTTAAAGATGCGAAAAAAAAAAAAATGCTACTGTCTCAATTCATTGTGGAATAGCGACAGGTAGCAGTCATGCCGCAGCTATTGTGTACAAAGCGACATTCAGATTATGAAATGGTCGGAGATATATAGTAAGTACGTTACAGAGGGCACAGCTTATATAACTTTTAAATGGGCGATTAGAGGGAAATAGTCGAATAATGTCAAGGACAGAGCAAACCCGAACACTATTAGGGTGTATTGGGAAAATGACAAGAACTGGCCCATCAGTGGTACAGGGACGACAAAGAGCGGGACTATAGGTGTGTATGAGATATTCGAAAATTTCCGTACCACCTCCAAGTCGTCTTACAACTCTCCTGATTTTCTTAAAACCAACGTTCCAGTGCCCAAAGTTGAGAGACATATATGGAATTCATTGGAATATTTCCTCACGACGAACTTGCTTTACCCGGGAAGACAGATATTCAAGGCGCACAAAATCGGCAAGTAAGATAGCAAGGGTCTGGCGGTTCCCTTTGATCTGATACGGGTAATCTCAATACAACTACTCAGTAATCTGTTTGCTGGTCAGAGTATGATTTACTAAGTTTTCTGTTCCATTGCACTTGTCGGGTAATATTGTCTCAGACTGTAAAGCTATATACATAAGTTATCTGATTAATAAACAATACCTTGTGAGATTGCAAGTAGCGGTATGCTATGAGAGGTAGAGAGTTGCCGACCTTCTGTAGGTCTGGGGGGTAGCTACGGTCTTTATATACACGTTGGGTCAGGCAGCCACTTGTAGTGGATCTGCAGGGTTCTCCTACACCCGGTAGCTCTCCTACGTAGCAGTACATCGTAGCCACGATCACACTTGCCTATTTAGATATAGTAGCGTGTTTTTAGGGGCTTTTTTTTTTTTTAGGTCAGGTCAGCCTAAATCAACGCGGGTTCGGGGCGGGTGCAGGGTTATCTACCAAAAACCCGCCCAGAGCCACGTTAGGGCTGGGTCCCAGATTTTGGACCTGCCCCCAACCCGATAACAACTCTATAATAGAATATATAGAAAGGTAAAGACTCTAGAGCTTTGGAATAGAAATTCGGCCCCTTCGGGTCTTTATACAATCGTGTTGCCTACTAAAATTCTTCTTCGGCGGTAAACTAGTTGTCTGGAGTCAAAGTTACAAATATAACTACAGGAGATATACTGAACACAACAACAGCTCTAATTACATAGCACATAAAAGGCTATAAGTTTAATTCAATAATCATTTCAAGAACGTAAAACTATAGGATTGGGAGAACTCGGGATCACGTCACACTCTTATATATAAGCCTGATACCATAGGTCTGTCTACTGGAGAGTAACCGAGTCTAATTTAGGGTTGGCAGACGTATTATACACAACACTAAATTAATTGGAACTCAGTACACAGTGTCTTTGTTTTAAATATATTCATAAATCCCTTTTTCTTTCCTTCAACGGCCTCTCCTGACATATGCTCATACACTGTGGTGGTTAGTAATAAATCAAGTAAAAACTGAGCTGGTCGAGCAACAAAAACAGAGTGAACTATTTTAGAAGGCTACAAAGGGGAAGTCTAGGAGTAACCGCTTACCGTACGCTTCGCCAACAACCTGGAAGGCATCACCTTCTTGTCTCAAAATCATTGGAAAGTTGCAACCGGCCAGGATAGTGACAATATCACCGCGGCAGGTGCGAGAAGGCCCTACGCATAGGTGTCCAGCAGAGGATACGAAAAACAACCGCCTCAGCATCACATTGTGGAGTAGCAGCTCCCCCTCCTCATTGAAGTCGTATTCCTCGGGGATAAGTTGCGACCCAGCTCGCAGAATGAATCTCAAACCCTGGTCGGTCAGTGCTACTGGTCTAACCAGGTTCAGGTCTTGGGAGGTTCGGAGGACGGTCCGTGCCGCGTCCATAATCTCGAGGGTGCTCCAGTCTGGGTTAGTCGCAGGTCCTGTTACCTCGACAGAGCCTAGTAGGATACCACGCACGTGGAGCTTGGTTAGATCGTCGCTGAACTTCGAAAACGGTTCCATCTTTTTTGAAGCGGTGTATCCATGGCCGTTCAAAACAACAAAGTCAGTAGAGCCGCTATAGTAGTTTTGCATGCGAGAGCCGTTGACAAACAAAGCTGGGCGTTGCTCATTGCCTTCCCTTCTCCAATCTGGCACCCAAGTGGGCAAGTCGGCAGGGCCATCCGTTGTAGATGCAGCTAGAAGTAGATCTAAACTCTTTTCAGCAGTGATTATCTGAGCGGCCACCTCACGATACACCTGTTCCATGGTCTTGGAATAGTCAGCGCGAGGCATGGTGCTCTGATGCTGAGAGCCCACTAAACCGAGGACACCAAAGACTTTGTCTTTCGGTTCAGTAGCCTCTCTATCCCACATATTCCAGAGCAAGGATGATAATTTGCTCCCGATTAGCCGTTTCTTGGAGAGATGAATAGCTAGTCCGTATCGCCGCTTGAGTGAGCTCCATGATCCCCAACGCTTTGTCGGCTTTACCATGAATCCCATGTCGTCCCAGGCTTCTTGATAGTCCATTGCATCTTCGAAGGTCTCCCATGGCATTGTGCTCATTCCACATTGGAGAATGCAGGAGCTAGCTAGCCAGACCTCCTGAACAATCCAGGTTCGAAACCACCATGGTCGAGCAAGGAGCTCGTCTAGTGCCTCCCAGTCTTGCTGTCTGGAGTCAGTAAAAAAATCGTGGTAAGGCATGGAGAAGTCATAGTAGAGAACAGGGAGCCCAGATATGATATGACTCTCAGTTACTTCGTTCCGTTCCCATTCTCGTGCCTCCTCTTCATACCGTCTTGCATCCACTATTTCCTGTGACAAGTGAAGTATACCCATCACGTAGAGAAAATAGTATTTCAGCCAGGAAAACCAACAGCGTATCGCGCATGATATATCGACAAGGCGAGCTCGACACCATTTGATAGTATTCCGTGCCCACGTGATAGAGTTAGTAAACACAGATACCGGCTTCTTGCCAGGTATTGTCTCACCGGGGTGATTGAGCAAAAGGTCGGATTCAGTAGGCTCGACATCGACCGTGTAGCTCAAATTGCTGTTGACGTAATACTCGTCAATGTTGCCATTGTTCCGAGTGACTTGTGTGGCATCTTCAGAAACCTCATTCGGGCTTTGTGGTCTTGTCTCTGAGCGTCCATCATGGCTGGCTCCTTGGGTTGCGCCAGAACTTGCGCTCCGTTCAGAAACCCCACCGGGAGATGCATGGCCATCGCTGGCGCGTCCGTCATCCCAGCGACCCAGACGAGCCATCTCCTTCAGAAATGAGAAGGCACGGTCGCTCGTAGCTGACGCGGGGCCCATCCATGCAACGACCGTTTTCGCCCCGCGATAGATGTACTGCATCATGGCCACCTGGGCATTGCGCTCGGCCACATCAGCCTGGTTGATGCAGACTGCATCTATCCATAGGATCCGCGGCTCATCAGGCCGGCGCAGATGACGTAGTGCGCTATCTAATACATCTGAGATGCTGAAATGTTGGCCATCAAGAGTTATGTCTTGAGTTAGTCCAGACGCACCTCCCCAAGCGTAGGAGAGGCACTCGTAGTCGGTCGAACCACACCCTAAAGGCACCACTGCAACGGTACAGTGCAGTGGGTCATGGAAGGCTCCCGGCTTTAGGGTAATAAGTCGTATTTGGCCCTCTTGGAGAGGCTCGAAAATATAGGGCCAAGACATGACCAAAATATGACGATTGCTTATATAGTAACTATGTGCACTTGTAACGGACACCGTAGGCACATAAGAATTAGCCAGTTCAACGGGACTCAAGTTCTTCACAGACATCACAGTGCTTACGGTAGGCGGCGGTTGCCTTTGTTATTTCATTGGCTGCGTGCCTGGGTTACCCCACCTACATCTGTCGTGGGGGTACAGGGCGTACTCGTCACTTGCACATGTATTGATCAGAAATACATAACCACCTTAAGTATATTTTACTTAAGTAAACACAGAACACGACGAGATCCAGATGGTGGAGTCTGGACTAGTTACTCTTTTATTACAATCTATCTATAATCAGGAAGTTTATCTACGTCGTCTTTTATTATGTCTTTCCAAAGCCTAGGTCTGGGACCCGGAAAACCCGCACGGGTTTATTATCGAATCATATGATCAAAAATTGCAGATTTCTAGATTTTTTCTAGATTAACTGTTTAATATTTAGCTTAACTGTAACTAGAAATTAGAAATTTTCTTAACCTAGCTAAAACCTAGTAGTTGGATATAGCTGACCCCATTAACCTAACCTAACCTAGGCATTCGCCACTCTAGGCTAGCGACGGGGAAAATGCGCGAACCTCTCCTTCTGTGCAGCCGGAGGTTATGAGCCATGACAGTCTCGTCCGAGGTCCTATACCGTAGGTTTCGGCTGCTTAACTCAGCCCATCTTCACCTGGCTGAACAACACCGTGCAGTACAGCGGCTTCGTGGTTCCGGGCAATTATGCCCCAAACAGGGAAGTACTGGTCTAAGTACAGGATTTTCTGCTTGCAACTGGGACCATTCCTCCAGCCTCTCATAAGATCGCACACTATAGAGAAAAGACTGGCAACCTGACTACCAGCGTGCCTTATCAATACTTATACTTGTCAAAGGGTATAGATATACCCTAAGTAGATGTCAAAGGGTCGATATCCGCACACCAGTCATATAAGAGGTACTTCTACCGTTCCATGGTTTTTAGGCGGCGAAGGTATCACCCTCAGATAATGGAGAACAACCCAAGCTGGTTGTGACCGCCCCAGACACTTTCGAGCGCACTGTTATAATCGGCGTTGGTTCTACTAATAGGCTTGCACCTTCGATGTATGGCAAAGTAGATCAACAATCCAAAGAAACAGCCACTCAATCCTTCTTCGTCTCCTGTTTTCCGGTAATGGCTCGGTATTCCCCTGCCGCCGTAGACTGCGGGTATATGGTGCTATTCCTACAACTATTATGCAGACACTCTTATCCCGAGCCAGAGGTAAACCGCTTGTACATATAAAACTCGCTTAGCCAAGCTACTTCACCAGATAAAGTATACGGACGACCATGGTTAGCGTGGACGACATTAGCAACTAGGACTAGCCTCCAAGGAGATTGCTCTCACCAGGAAAAGGTTACCCGAACATTCGTAACCACAGGGCATTGTAGAGGCAAGAGGCAATATAAGAGATTCAGTTAACTTAAAAGACACTTATATCATGTGAAGCTGAAGAACATGGAGCAAGCAACTAAACAAGATCAAATTTTCCCCCACAATAGTATTGACATACTTATTACCTGTGGTAAGTTTCTATCATACCGAGCAATAAAGCACCTACCGCTCAGTAGATAATTATTACGAATTCAGTGAGATGCTTTCACTTAAGCATCACATGGCTGTGTGTAGCCCACCGTGATGCCTTGTGATCCTCTCAGAAACAAGAAACGCCACTTCCCAATCATAGGTCCACTTGATGCTATGATACCACCTTCGATCTGACCGATCAAGCACAAAGCCAAGGTAATGTAGGATAAAACCTGCCGTATTCATATACATCACCCTTGTACTGACTTCCCTGATTATCATTTACATTTACAGGAATACCTACTTGCCTGGTATCCCTGAGCTATCTTGAATAAATCGGAAATACTGAGTTGACAACATTTTCCCGCCTTGCCCCACCCGAAGCGAAGCGCTACCCATATCGTCCACCCGGTACCAGCGTATCCTTGCCAATTGGGCAACCATTTGGGGCCCAGCCGACTACGACATCGACCTGGACACTGATTACTGGGAAACATACTATGCTGTCGTCAAGGAAGACTTCGGGGATTTATATGGACCGCCCTTGACTATGACTGAAAATGCAAGTCAGAAGAACATACATGGAGGGAGTTGGACCGTATGCTACGCATTTGGGCTGAGCAAGTGAGGAGCGGACAGCCAATGTCATACCATCTAAGTCTAGGGATATTCGGTGGACCAAACGGGCGCGACAGACGAATCTTAGAGAATTTAATTTCCGAACTGAATGAACGCGAGATGAACAACACGATGAGATAGACTCAAGACAATGATTATTCTCCCTGACCCTGTCGCTTTGGATAGGACTATCGTTGGGGTTGAATAGAGGGATGGAATGAAATGTGTCCTATTGTGCCTAGACTTGCAGTATCAAACCAGAATCTCCTATCGATATGCTTCTGTAACTGTGTCAGTATAAGGCACCAATTAAAAGATGTAATGGAGAAAGGCTAATTGAAAGGCCTACCTGGAATCTACTGCAATTAATACTAAATGTGCAAATTGGGTGGAGCCCGCCAGGAGCATTTCTCGCGCATACAAACTCTGCGACTTCTATAATTCAGATATCCTGAAGAGATGATAAATCAAGGCCCCTGCTGAATCTAAGGATACATCAGCTCTGGGAGATGAATTTTCTAATTAAACCTAGATCTATGGGTTTCCATTGCTATAACTTTGGTTTTGTCAATATGGATAGTGGTTCTGGAGCGTAGATTGGCAGAGGATGGAATTATAGGTGTGGTTGATGACATGTTGTGTACCGGCAAGGTTGATCTTAAACTAGCTTCAATGTACGTGTGTTTTAAATTGTGCTTTTGGTTATATGCTATAAGTTGGCTGATTCACTATTGTTATAAATTGTCCTTTTTACTGAATGTGGCACTTGCGTCTCTCTTGCAATATCAGCCTGGACTTTCGACTGGCAATGGAAACAATAAAAGTTGTATATCTCAGTGCTCTCTACTCGCTGCAGGTGCGCCATCAAATTAGTTGCATTGTTCTCGACTTCTCTTTTAGAACCGTCAGCTCAAACATATTGGGTTGTATCTAATCATTCCATTCACATAGAATTTTGTCCTAAGTCGCTGAATAACATTCGTTTTCAAAAAGCAAAAAAATAACAAATAAATTTATCAAGGAGGAAAGACCTAGTAGAGAGAGACGTAAAAGGCGGAACAAGTATGTTTCATCCACCGTTTTGCCTTGACAATATTGTTGTCTTCCGGTGGACGATAAATGCGCGGTCCGGTGGAGTTTGAGCGGTAATTGGCCTTTGAGTAAGTACTACTTGGGCCAGTGGGGAGTGATTGATTGGACTACGTAGGCGAGGTAACTTCACGCACAAGGCTCAATGTGGGATGTTGCTTATGACATCAACCTGCATGACATTGAAGTCTCGGGTAATCTAGGATGAAGTTGTGAGATCTACAAGAAGTAGCCCTTGCCGCACTTTCCACTGACTCGGTGGCATCCTAACCCTGGAAACGATATCACCGCTCCAGAGCCGTCCCCCTCATCATACAAAACCCGTGACGGCTCACCCAATACTGTTGCTTTCTTTCTTTCTTTCTTTCTTTCTTTTTTTTTTTTTTTTTTTTTGTCTCGTGTCCAGGGTGTGAGAAACGACCAATTATTGTGAATATGACCGCATCAGGCCAGCTCCCGGAGAAGATAATCCTCGTCACTGGCGGCTCGGGGCTTGTCGGCAGTGCCATTCAGTGGGCGATAGACAGTTCCTCGAGTGGCGTTGGGAATCAGGGTGATGGAAAATGGATTTTCTTGAGTAGTGCCGACGGGGACCTCAGGTCGACATCCTCCCAAGGTGAAAGATTCAAGGCCCTACGTACTCACACCACAATCGCAGGAACTACGACGAAACGAACGCCATCTTTGCTAAGCATAAGCCGACTCATGTCATCCATCTTGCAGCCCGTGTTGGAGGAGTCTATGAGAATAGTCGACGCATGGCCGATTTCGTCCGCGACAACGTCTCTATTGACCAGAATGTATTGCGTGTGTGCCAGGCACGAAACGTAAGTTTCCTCTACTATGAAGTACCTCCGATGCTCTCTCAAACATCCAGGCTGAGAACCCCACAGGTGGAGAAAGTAGTATCCTGCCTGTCGACCTGCATCTTCCCCGACAAGACCACATACCCCATCACCGAGGAAATGCTCCACGACGGCCCTCCGCACGCGTCAAACTACGGCTACGCCCACGCAAAGCGCCTTCTACACATCCTCAGCCTAGCGTACCGCCAACAATACGGCTGTCGCTTCACCTGCGTCATCCCGACCAACCTCTATGGCCCGAACGACAACTTCAGCGAAGGCTGCCACTTCATCCCCGGGATCATCAAACGGGTGGCGTCTGTGATGGAGAAAGGGGAAGACGGGCCCCTTTCGACGCTCGTGGTGCCCGGCAGCGGGCGGGCGCTGCGGCAGTTCCTTTATTCCAGAGACCTGGCGAAAATGCTGATATGGGCATTGTGGAACTACGATGCGCCAGAGCCCTTGATTGTCTCACCCGATCCAAACCAGGAAGTGTCGATTAAGGATGTTGTCAGCCTGGTATCGGAACTGAGTGGGTTTGGGGGTCCGATCGAGTGGGACACCAGGTGGACGGATGGACAGCTGCGAAAGACAGCCGACAACGCGAAGATGCGTTCTGTGATGAAGGACTTCGAGTTTACAGCATTAGAACAAGGTATGATGTCCTATACCCCATATTCTGTGGTCGCAGTTGTGTTCGTCCACCAGCTCAACGATGAGTGTAGGTCTGAGGGAAACCATAGCATGGTACAACGCCAACCAGGGTCGCATTCGCGGAGTAGAGCTATTGGAACAGGCTCGTGTTTCCAAGGCCCTGATATGATGCATGGGGAAGGAGAGCTGGAGCTGCTAGTTGGTTGATTCCCTTCCTAGGGAAGGTGGGCCAATAACAAGAGATCTATGTCTATTGCCGTCATCTATAGTTTGCTCGCCGTCCGCAATTTTGCAGGCCTGCCCCGAACCAGGGCGAGATCTGACTCTACCATCTCCTTCACGAGGGCCTTGAGAGGCATACCATTAGCAGTGTATCAGGACATCAGGCGCCGCCCCGGCAAACATACCTCAAAGGAGACCTGCGGAGTCCACCCAAGCCGAGTAGTGGCCTTCCGAGCAGACCCATGCAAGAAGGGCACCTCTGCTGGTCTGTAGAGCGCGGGGTCAACCCGAACTCGGATGTCCCCTGTGTCAGCATCGACACCGACTTCCTGATCTCCCGTCCCTCTCCATCTATACACGTTCTAGCGTATTAGCTAGCCTGCTAAGACTCATAATCTTGAGGGAGGGTAGAGGATCTCTGCCTGCCTTAGTTCAATGCCTACAACCCGGCACGCCGCCACAACAAATTCCCGGACGGACCTTGTCTCACCGGTGGCGATAACGTAGTCGTCGGGCACGTCCTGCATCATGATAGCAAAGACCCCACGCATGTAATCGATGGCGTGGCCCCAGTCTCGCCGTGCATCTAGGTTGCCAAGGGTGATGCAGGTTGTGCAGCCGACGTGCATCTGAGCTACGCCAAATGTGATCTTTCTCGTAACGAAGTCAAGCCCTTGACGTAATGAGAGGCATATTTAGCTCTGCGATTGTAAACAGTAAGAGGACTTGACTTACCCCTGCGAGGAGACTCATGATTAAATAAGATGCCATTAACGGCAAAAAGACCATGCGCTTTCCGCGCGCTAGAAGTTACCCAGAACGAAAAGGCCTTCGCAGCGGCATACGGAGATACGGGCCTGAATGGCGTAGACTCATCCTGGCACCCATCGCGCGTCTCACCGAAAACCTCAGATGAGCATGCCTTGACTTTCACAATCAGCATAACCTGGCGCTACCTAAAATGGCCTATCATGGCGGCTTACGTTGTAGAACTTTATCTTGCTCTCCTGCCGTAAGGCTAGAATGGTCTGGATGAGCCGCAGCGTGCCCAATGCATTCACGTCGCTGGTGTGCAGTTGGAGATCGAATGATGTTCCTACATGGCTCTGTGCTGCAAGGTGGTACACTTCGCTGTAACTATGATCTCTGAACAGTCGCAGCAGGAAGTATGGATCTAGAATATCTCCTGGGTGTAGCACCACTTTGTTTGCTGTATGATTGATTAGGCACATCCTACACATGCACGGGCCATGGGCATACGAAATTCCTCTGCTGCTGCTAAGACATAAGAGAGAGCCAGGGGAGCGTAGTCTGCGGTCGTTCGATGGCGGAGAATCCCATGAACGCAATATCCTTTCTCCAGCAACAGTTCGCAAAGGTAGGAACCATCCTGACCCCCAATGCCTGGAGCTTGTCAGCCTGCCTTGTGTTGCCTGCGTTCAATGGCTCCCGGATTACTAGCCTGTAATTAAGGCCTTCTTTTCCGCCATTCTGCGATCTCCTCCTTGCTGGTGTAGAAAGCACAGAGCGATGATTTCCAACGGCAAGGTAAGTGGCAAGATTGCAAGCGGAATGAGTGTACGGCCCTTCGATCACTGTCTCACACTTCACATAAACTATTTATTACTATTCTATGTGGCCACAGCCTAATGGACAACACATTTCCCACGACAGGGCTAACCCCCGATCGTCGCAACCTGCATGAGCTGTGCCACCGCAAGCGAGGGATACCAGTATGTAATTGGTTCTGGCAGCGCGGGGCTATCTTTCCCATGGCTTACTAACCCCAAGCTCTGGCTCCAGACCTAAGAATTTTATGTGAAAGCGTACTCATAGAAGCCCAGGATGTTTAAAGTCCCTAACTCCCCAGTAAATCCATTCTGGTGAAAATAGCAACAGCATCCTGCGATTCGTGTTATGTAGTTATAGTTGAATGGCATCTCCATTCCGCAATGTGATCCTTCCTGGCTGTCCTACGATCACAGCCGGGGGAGGAGGCGACTTTTGGGACATTGCTGCAGCCCACATCTGCTCTTCTCAGGGAGCGAGCTCGAAAAAAAAAAAAAAAAAAAAAAGGATCTGGTATGTTCTATTGTGACTGACTATCGAGACAATATAAGGTGGATTCCAAGACAGGGTGGCAAGCTCTTCTTCAATCAGTATTTTTGCCCAATCGGCCTGCCTTGTCTCCTGGCCAAGTTCAACATTGGGCTCGGAGATGGCAGGGAGAGACTCACATCATGTACAAGGGGAAGCTCATCATGGCCAGGGAGGCTAGCTCTGTCTATCTTAGATCCGTTCCAACAGTTCGAAAACATATCCTCTATTCTGTCTTGTGGAATGAGGTCATGCCCTGGGAACCTCTCTGGGCAAGTACACCGTTGACACGGGTGAGCAAAGCAAAACTTCAAAATAACACATCAGGGGAGAGACCAGAAAAGCAGAAGTGCCTGAATCAAATAGACCTGCGCCGGGGTTAGTTCCACACTTTATGATGACTACGACTGTCTGAAAATACGTGCATGCTGGTTGCCACCGGCCATTCGAGCTTCGCGGCTTGCTTTGATATCGCGGCGCTTACCTTTGCCTTAGCAATGTTGAGGGACGTCAATAAACCATACACACAACGAGAGAGTCCTCCAGAGGAGACAATATGCGGGTGGCAAAAGCTGTCTTAGTGCTGTGTCGGAAAGGAACAGTCAACTTTCGGCAAGACACAACGTAAAGCGTCTTTGACCTGATCAGAGCCACGGCAGTAGAGAAGGACATCGTCACCATTCGAGTAGCGGTTGCCTTGAACAAGAGTCACATAGGAGACTCGGATTTACCCTGTTTGACGCCCGGGGCTCGGAAAGATTCACTCCAAAACTATTCATCGTCCGGTTCTGGGCACTAGTGTACCACGTGCAAGACGCGCTCGGCCTTGCTAGTCCGCAAGATTTCATACTTTGCCACGTTGTTAAAGACACAAAGCTCTTCTTCCTTTACCTCTACCCTATCTAGGTCCGTGGTTCCTTAGACTGGAGCAGATAGGGTTCGTGTTCTGTTCGAAAGCGCCGGATAAGGGCCACAGAACAGCTCTTCTGAGCCTGAAGATAGCGCATCGCTAAGTGTTACGTTCACTCCATTAATACGATCGGGGAGAGGCAGCTAGTCGTTGATGGAGCTCTGCAATCTCTTTTGCCATCCCTGCATTACACATACTTGAAGCACAGTCCCCAATCGCAGGATTCGCTTGGCCTTGGATTAGATCATCAAGTTGTACGTGCTTTGCGAAATGCTCCTAAAGCTAAATTGGAACTTCTATTCCATTTTGAAGTACTTAGACCTGCGGTGATGCTTAAGCAGTCATCCTGCACACTTTCATCGCTCGTATATGGCATTTAGAAAACGAACATTTCAAGATCTTTTGCCGTGCGCGGTACGCCAGCTCCAATGCGCTGGGTCTCGACAGGCGTTACCGCAATGCCGACAGATGGTACCTGCAGAGGGATCTTCTTATTGAGAGTCACCAATCTGAATCAAAGCTACGGGTCATTCAGAGCCTTGTATGTATGTGCAGAAGCAGCAGGGGCAGAGGAGAAATATAAGTTTACAAGACCAACTTAAGTAGCAGGATTATAGCTGAAGATGATGGTAAGGCGGGATCCCGATCTCGATAATCTGACTAGCATTCAGCCTCTCCAAAGGGCCGTGAAACCTGTACGTGTCGAATATGACTACTGATCACGATCCTTTTTTGATTCAAGCAGATCATCAACCAACTATCTGATTATCAGATAGCCAGATTTCTTATTCATTATTCATTCATTTGATCTCTTTAAGTCTACTCTAGCTTATTTTTATTATTTAAGTTATTTAGCTATTGTCAGCTGCCCTAATCCTAAAGCGGAATAATCTTAGGGCAGGCTTGGAAGAAGATATAAATAGAATTGCTAAATAGATTGAGTAATGAAGTAGGCTAGAATAGTGTGATCGTGGCTCTGTGGGGACACTACTCAGAGCAGGATTGCCCTACGAGAGTCCTCTACGGGCACTAGAGACAGCCTGTATTACGCATAAAGCCTGCAGAACCCCCGGGTCTGCATATCCTGGCTCATTGTGTATAGGCCCTGGTCCCAGTTCTTCCTATATAAGAGCTCGGATTCCCTACAGTTTAGAATCGGTTGGAGGAGAGATTACCTGACCTTTCACCGACTCTTCGGCGGGAAAGATCTACCGAATACAGAAGAATTCTAATGCTATTTAAGGAGGTGAAAAGATATAGATAGAGGAAACAAAAATCAATCTCTTTGTATTCGTTCTACTACGCAATCAATGATAGATATCTCTTCCTCTTCCCGCCTACGTTTCCTTACCTAGTTGACAGGCTATCTACCCTGCATAGTAGATCCCCCGTTACAGAGATATAGGTTATCTAGGGGCCGGTAAGCGGGCCCTCAACCTTCAGAAAGTTACAAGGCGAGCTTAGATAGCAAGCTGAATATCAAGTATATAAGGATAAAAAGCTCTCCTCCCACACACTTAGAGAATATATATAGTAGTCCAGATGTTGAACTGTACAAAGGGAAAGACTCCAACTAATCACACATGGCAAGTCATTATGGCCTTTATTCAGAGTATCGTGTCAGAGACGCCGTCGGCTGCGGGCAGCGCTTTCCTCGCCGCACTCGTGGTCGGATATGTCGTTTATCAACGATACCTGCACCCACTGGCGAGATACCCAGGTCCATTCCTTGCGAGTATCAAAGATCTAGGGCAGGTTCATCAGTTCCTGTCCCTACAGCAACCATATCATCTTACCACAATCCACGAACGATACGGCCCCATCGTTAGGTACGGACCGGACAAGCTCAGCATCACGCATGAAAGTGCTATCCCCATAATCTATCAGAAAGGCGCCAAGTCTATGCCGAAAACCGAGTTTTATGACGCATATTGGGCTGCCCATCCAAATGTATTTGGGATGCGGGATGAAGTAGTAAGTCTCCTGCTTAAGAATAAAAATCGTGTAACTCATGGTTCTAGATGTACTCAACAAGGCTGCGCCGTATGTCTCACAAATTTTCTTTGAGCTACGTTAAGGAGATGGGAGAGTACCTTGACTTAAACCTACGCATTCCGACGGATAAGACTAGATTCCAGATTGAGAGAGGGGAAGTATTTGACCTGAAGAAAGCTTTGCATTACTATGTAAGTGACGTCTTGGGAGAGCTCGCTTTTAGCCAGTCTTTCGGTGTGCAAGAGGCCGATGACGATTCACTTATCCCGCTGGTGATCGAGCATAGCTTTCTGGCGGCTGTCACTGGTGTATGGCCCGCCGTGACAATGACTCTGAAACGCTGGCTCCCCCTACGTACCGCACGCAGGCTTTCGGCGGCTCTTTGGTACTCCAAAGGCTTGCGCAGATCTCCCGTCGAGATGCGTTCAACGACGGCTGAGGGACCTAAAGGATGATGGAATACAGGATAGGAAGGATATTCTCACCAACTTGATCAAGGCGAAAGGCTGAAGCCAATTGATCTGGAAACGGAGGCATTTGGTTTCATGTACAGCACATTGCTTTGATTCTTTGGCAACCTAGGGTTAACGATCTCATAGTACTCCCGGAACTCACACAACCAGCGCCACATTCACACTTCTCTTCTACCATCTTCTCCACAATCCTGAGTTCATGAGAAATTGCGTCGAGGAGATCGACTCTAACCTGCCGTCCCTTGGACCGACCGAGACTGCGTACTCCATTGTCGCCGCAGAAGCCTCTCTCCCATTTTTACGAAACTGTATCCGAGATAACTTCCGTATCACCCTGGTTTTTACGATGCCGTTGGCACGCCGTATTGGGATGACTGTGGCGAATACCAATATATACAAGTTACTCGGTACACTGCTTAAGGAGTTCACTTTTGAGCTAGCTGATGAGCGGGACCGGGTGGGTGTGGAGAAGGGCATGTATAAAGGCAGGATCCCGAAGCTTTTCAGTGCAGGAATTAGTGACCCGCAGGACCTCTGCTCGTTAGAGCTCAAATTCTTTGACGGCTTTAAGGAGGCGTTAAGAAAGACAATCATCGGCCTGTTATTGTGAAGCATCTGAATGTCTGCGGCATTGCCATGAATCTCAGCATAGAGCTATCCCCGCTAAAGAAAGAGATTTGTCACACTTCATTGGCCTGAGAGACCGGGGCAGGGGAAGAACTGCTGTGGGGCTAGTCTGTAGTCGATACCTATACATATATCATCCTACCCAGTGGCGGACAAATTCGAGCATACCGCTGAGGTTGCAGAACCGATTGCCCATTATCATGCCGCCACCGTGGATGTAGTGGATTGTTCCGCCTTAGGGCTCTGTGGGATTTCTGGAAGTCGCTCCAGTTTCATGCGATGGAAAGCAGCATTTTATCGTATGCCGCAGCTGTAGCGCTCCTGCCACAACTCGTTCTTATGGGAATCCGCGTAGTCCTCGAATAACAAGACTCGGAACGGCATTCATAATGCTAGCTGCTTCCATTTCAAAGCAGAGGATGTTATACTTTGCACCCAGATGATCCCTAGTTTCCGCATCCTTAATAACCTTATTTCCAGAATCAATCAGACCATAGTGGATAAGTGGGTGAATCCCGGAACGGCGTGCTCTTCGAACACGTCGACCATTGCACTGGGCAAAAGGCTTGTCATGCTTGACTCCAGGATGCTCGTATGCAAGCTGCATGTTGTAATATCCTTGACATACCCTTGAAATCGTGCTGATGGAAGGTCAGGGTCGGACATTAACGTACTTATAGCTAGCATCAGGAAACGTGGAGGACGCTGTGGCGATCCCGTTCGCACAAACCTGTTTTCCTCCGTCGTTTTGCCACGATCGTATTGAATAACCCCTGGATGGATGTCAGTTGGATGGCTAACGACAGCATCACCGAGTCGGATATCATTGTGTCTTGAGGGCACTCCGCCCCCTATCCCGAAAAAAAGGCAGAATTTGAGCTCTGGAAAGCTTCTGGTCAAATGGCAAACAACATCAGCAGCGGCATTTGTACCGTATTCGCCTGATGGCAGGCATGCAGCAACAACGTGATGATACGCAATTCGACCCAGTGCATAATGATTCGTGTCTCGCACAGACCTCTCTAAATCTTCGTGTTTGTCATCAAATAGTATGCGGACCGCTAGCAGCTCTTTCTGCAAAGCACATATTATTCCAGCTGTGTAGCTCTCACAAGTAAGGGTCTCTCTACCTTCACTTGATGCGTGTTGAGAGCCTGAAGTTGCTGAACTATGACTTCCCTTCGGAGCCGATGAACCTATGTCAGACCCAATCCCACTGTCACGGAATCCGATCTCGGATGCCTCCGTTGGCGACCATGGCTCTCCTACTTGGGGATATCTAGTATCTTTCCAGAACCATCTAAAGTTCTCATTGTGACCAAGAATCACCGCGCCGCGAGCTTTTAATGAACTTGATCATTGTTGAGCACGCCAGTCTTAAGCCCGGAAGGCAGAAGGACCTGAACAGGGTCTGAATGCTTGTCTTGCCCATCCACTTCGCATTGGCAGGTTGCAAAGACGTCTGGATTGTGCCAAATGACGTTATGTGTTAATACTATCGGGCTTGCTTCTGAGTCACCATCCATGTCCATGATCTCTTTGAGGTCCTGAATAGAGGCGGCGAGATAGTACATGCCCTTTGGCAGTTCTGCCCATTTGGTACAGGAGCCAGTACTGATAGGCTGGATAACCTCGCTATATCGTCGACCAAACAATGTAATTGCGTGGATAGCTCTAGTGAAATCGACCCATCCTTTGCCGATTGTTTCAAGCGTGGCAACTCGAGGATGAAAGATGTCGCCACTATTAGCCAAGTCATTAAAATCCCAGCTTTCAAGGTGTTTCCGTGTTCTGGACAAGTTTACGTTGTCTTGCGTGGCGAAGCTGACCTCATAATTCCATAATCCTTTCCAAGGTGTCGTAGAGCTCTTCAATCCGATCCTCCAATCGAAGATAACCTTCTTGTTCCAGATATATCGGGAGCTTCCTGTTATGCCAAGTCACGAGAACCTCGATGGCGGAAGAAGCTTTATGAGTTTCGGGTGCCTCTTGCATATCCTCTGGATTGAAAAGAAATTCAGTGCTGACTTCATCCATGCTGTCGAGCTTCAGAGACGCACGAAGTAGGTGTAAGAGAACACTAGTCCCATTGACAAGCCATCCTCGTTTGTCTTCTTCGTCCCAAAGCACAAAGAATCTCCGACGGATGGACTTGAGCTTTTCTATATACCCATTCCGTACTATATGGATAGCTGTGTCTTTGTGGCCTATGCTGAATGCGCTGCCGATAATGACGTATCCCTTAAATATGCGGACCTCATTATATGTGCAGCCTTCGGGGGGTCTTGGGCGCCGCGACGGTTTAATTAAATAATTAGCGTCTGCAGACCCTGTGAAATGAATGTGTTAGCAAAGGAACTAGCCTTCACCCTCAATGCTCTTACCAGCGTTGTATCTAGCTTCCGAACACCAACCAAGCATATGTCGAGCCCTTTCCAAGTCAAAGATGCTTATATTCTCCAAATGAGGTACTACATGCTGGATGTATGGAATGCGGCTTCTGTCCATGTTGTAAATCAAATGCCAAAGGACCATGTGGCCACTTTGTCTTGTTAGGATTAACATTATCGAAAACTCTTTGATAAAGAGCTTTTTGTTGAAACTATTGACACCTTTGCTTTGAGCCAATCCTGCCATCATATTCAGTGGGATCTCCAAACCTGTAGTGGTCTCAGATCTCCATGGAATTGGGTAGCCTGTGACGACAACATGATTCCTGAACAAGTTGTGCCAGCATTGAGCATTAGAAGGTGTATACTGCTTCTCCCTTTCCTGCAAGGTATAATCAATCTTGCAAATGAGATCGGGCCAAGGCGGCCTCCCTGACATTCATTGCGAGATTCCAGAGATATGGAGATCACCAATAACTGGCATGCAGCAGGCAACTCCATATTCATATGGAGAAGACCGTAGAGCAGCACCAAGCCATGCAAGCTGTTCACCGACCTCGGCCACCGAGTCTCCTGTGCTGAAAACCCGAACGTTGAGTTTTGATTCATGAAGCCATGCGGTGACCTTAGCATTGTCAGGTAAGTCACCCAGAAGAACATAATTAGATTAAATTAGAACAATTCGGGTTGGGCGACTTGCATATTTGTCGGCTGCCATGTCCAGCGCGGACTACATCCTTGACCAGCTGAATAATATACCCACCAGTTGAGGGCCAGGTCTGGCACAAGTATTGTGCGCATGCCAAAGCCTGTGCATCTTCGGCTGATCCTGTAAGTGTGATGGCTCTTTCAACTGCCTCACCTGACTCCTCTTTATACCCTTGCTCGTTGAGAAAAGATGGTGGATTCCATTCGATCACAAAGATCATATTATAAGCTTCTGCAGATAACCTTTGGCTGATCTTGTGAGAGGATGGCAGGGATGTAAGAATTTTGTTCCTGGTTGTCTCCTTAAGATTTGGCTCTGCTGGAGCCAAAAGGTACTCTCTGTACAAGCTTGCAAGAAGCCATTCGTACGACGCCACATTGAAAATGAAATCCTTATATGCAATGAGTTCAGGCATGCTGATTTCTTCGTTCTGTTCTTCTCCTGCATCTTCATTGCCGATTATTGGTTCATTGATGCTAGGAGAACGTGGGATGTGATCTTGTTGCTCTTCTAGGTGTTTATTCCAGAAGGTCCATTTTTTCATCCAGGGCCATTGCTTCTGACTCGCCACTCCCGACATCAGAAAGATTCTCTTCCTGAGGAGAGCACATATCCATGAAGCGACTCACAATAGTACTGAGAAATAACCAAAGTTAGGACTAAATTCCATATTACATATTGGGGATATTGTACTCACTCGCGATTCTTGTGGATAAAAACCATAACATCACGGTGCATCTGACTAGGTGCGGTGTGACCAACCTTAAGAGCGAAAGCTTTGAGCAATTCAGGGAGGGCCTCGGAACTTCTCTCCATTGTCTGCGCATCGGGCTGCCAGGAAACAACTTTTGTAAACAAATCTTCAGCCAATTCAGACATGTAACTCTCCTTTTGCAGAGTCGTAACACTCGATGTGTCAGTGTAAACTGTTCTAGCCGCATCCACCTACAGAGAAGTTTGTGTCTGTGGCGTTGTGAGTTGCTCTACTGATGCGTATCCAGCATCAGAAGGAAGTTCAGATTGAATATCCCTGGCGCTTTTGATACACACATGTTTGACTAATCTTGTAGATGCGTAGCCTGAATCCGTACGTGCTCCATTTTGTGTAAGTTGCCGGGTATTTGCGCCGTCGCCTCCGCTAGGATCGTCCTTGCCTGCAGTATTTGGCCCACCTGGATGCTAATCTTGTAGAAATGTGTTCTGGCCGGTGGATTCCATCCTCGAGTCATCCTCTAAACGAGATTGGAGACGTGGCCGATTTGTACCACCATCACCAGACATGGCCCCCGCAACCGCCACCGGATCATCCCGGCATATCAAATGGCTCTCGTGGCCGACTCCATAGGTTGTAACACTTGTATGTAGTAGAGAGAGGGTAGGTGGCCTCACAGGTGCGCTAATGGAGGCATCGAGGCTGGTCTGCTCCTGTTTCAGGCTAGGAAATGGGTCAAGTGTCCAAGCTGAGTTCGTTTTAGCGGACACTCCTTCTTCTGATTTGTTAATGCTAAGCATGTCAAAGGGCCAGTCCACCAGCGGAACATGAGTCTGAGCGCCCTGGTATATGCTGGGAATAGGCCTGCTCGGTAGGGCTGAATCTAAAGAAGAAAGACGAGGAAGGATAATTGCATTGGCTGGCCTGGGGTTATTAGTAAAGGTACGGCTTGGGGAAGTGATCAGATTTCGCCACATGGTGACGCCGACCTCATTTCGTCGCGCCTGCCGAAACTTCCAGAGGATGATAACCATTCTCTTGCCTTCATCGCTGGAAGAACCTGAATGTTGGTTGTGCAGGCCTGGCAGGCGGGCAGGCTTGCTGGCACAGATCTCCTGAATCGCGGTTAGGGTGCAAAAGTACTGTCTGCTACGCTCCTCAGCAGCATGGTGACGTCCGCTGGATTCAGCCTCTAGCTTTTCCTTTGTAAGGGACGTGAGCACTTCTACCCACCACGACGACTCAAACGGGAGTTTGACTTTTGTCGCGTGCTGCCTAGTCAAGTTATGCTTTGATGTAAACGCGGACCGGCCATCTTCGTATAGATAAGTGGAGCAACTCCAATTCTCCATCTGGTTGCTCATCGGTGCGGCACTCGACGTGGAACTGGCAATGTCAAGCTCCAGGGAGATTCCTAACTTTGACCACACAGGAGGAAAGCCATCCATCAACTTAAGGTTAGCTTCAAGAAGTATTATTTCGCAGTCTAAGGGGTCGTTAACGTCTAAGAGCAAAGAGCCTAGGCGTGGAAAGGACGTTCGCCAGTTCGTTAAATCCTCCAAGCGCATACGTGCTTCCTGCTGGTTTCCCATGAGGCGGGTATACACATGGAAGGCATCCTCAATTCGTCCTGGCATCGTTGGAGCAGTGACCCACATGCCGAATTCAAGGCATTGAACTACATAGACATATGAATCTTGGTGGGTCGTTGTAGAGCCACATTCTGGTAGTGGCAACTCCTTAGAGTTCGGCGTCATCAGGCTCAACCGTTCAGGGTACATGGATTGGTATGGTTACTGTAGTGGTTAGAAGGTGAAGTATCTATGGAGGGTCTCCATTCAGGACCAAAAGGTTGGGTTTGGTTATTCGAGTGGCCGGCAAGTTGTCCTCGAACTAGCCTTTCCCCTAGTGCTGTTGTTACATCACACAAAGAACTATATCCTGGTATTGTTGAAACTTACAGTCTGGGTCACCCTTGAGGAAAGAATCAAGGACTTACAAGTGGCTTGAGACCTGTTCCCTCGTCCTCCGCTTGCCAGTTAATTTATAGATATATTCCGCAATCAGCTGGTTTCGACCATACGACTTCCCGCGTTCGGACCACTTTCTCTTCCCCATGGGTGGGGTTGCCTCAAGGGCTATAGTGACCATTAGTCTCTTCCTAGACTAGGCAAATGATGCTGCGTACCTTCCTGAAGTGCGTCCTCCAGCTCGTCCGACCATACTGGCTCCCCATCCTTACCAGTATCCCGGCGCGGCCGGGCCCTATACTCTAGATACTTTTGGGACCTCAGATAGCTCCTTCCCCTGCGAGGACCAGCAGATATTGAGTCACTAAACGGTAGGCGTCGCAATCTCTGGGCCTGGTATCGGTGGCTCGATAGCTGGGGATAGTCCACGCTACTAGTAGTAGTAAGGCGTGAAAGGTTTGTAACAGGGGGGTGGGGGTCTCCAAGAACAAATTGTTGAAAATTGTTGCCGGACCCTGCTGTATCACTGTATACGAGATTGTCTGAATACGGTGGGGCATCCCTAGAGGTATTAGCAAGCTCTTGGTATGATTGAGACCCTCGACCCTCAAGAGATTGCTGGTTTGGAGGCATTATGCACTCAATTTGCCCATCAGTCGGCAGGAGCTGGACCACTAGAATAGGCTTCCACAAGAATAGATTCCAAGACAAAGATGTTGAGGGTCACATATCTTTCATGCCTAACAATGAATAATGGACGACTTCCATAGACGAGGCTGTAACCTCATCGAATAGGACTTCGCCACATGGCGCAACAAAAGGTAAGCAGGGAGATGACCAGCTCATTGACCAATGCAGGAATAAATGAACTAGCCCGGCTAGGTATGTGATGTCTGGGTGCCCAGATGTGGGAAGGGTGGAGAGAGAGATTTGGCATGTGGAATGTGACCACTATTAAGCTGGAGGTGCTCTTGAGTAGTAGCAGTATTAGTATAAGGACGTAGATTAGGTTCTATGTATTGGTTACCCCGCACGATTTAGAACGAGGGGCACAACTCGATTGTATTGTATTGTAAAGGCACATTCAGTAAGCTATGTTTCTTAATCCAAGGTGAGGCTATGCTGTGGAATTGCTTCGATATACTAAATTATACTAGGACTAAAAAGTTACAAACCCGAGATAGACTATAGTAGTATTCTAGAATGTGGACTATTTCTGGGTTTCCTGAGTAGATCTGCGAAGCCGTGGACCCTGATACCACTTTCGTGCGTATACCAGCCAATTGATGCCAGCCACAATGGCCATAGCACCGAGCACCGCAGGTGTATAATCTGGAAGTTCCGTCGCAGAGGTCAATAAACAGTTATCGGGGACAGGAGACGGGGTAGTAGTCGAACTCACTCATATTACTGCCAGTGACCGGCATCACAGTTGGGAAGTCATAGAAGATCAAGACCAACACGGCGAAGCATACCGTTATCACATTGGCCCCCCAACCCACTGGACTAGGCAACCGGAAGGGGCGCAGGTCCGGCAGCCAAGTCGCCGATCGGCATCGATAGAGCAGCAATGCTGCTGGGAAGGCGTATGAGATGTGTTGTAGAACTAAGCCCGTACCAATAAAGGCATTAAATGCAGATGACGATCCTAAGTAGATACACCCGATGAGGAACATAACTGCATAGTTGAACATGAGAGCCCAGACGGGGACCTCTAGGGTGTCATGTAATTTTCCAATCCACTGACTACCAATGAGAGCCCGGTCTCTCGCTAAGGACCAGGTCAGACGCGATGCTGTTTGCTGAGCACCGGTAAGAGCAAAAACAGCTGCGAGCAGAAGGAGGCAAATGAAGACGGTAGCAGCCGAGGTGGATCGTGTCGCCTGATGCCACATTTCGTAAATGGGAACTCTGCCGACAAGGTCAGATTAGTGTCCGAGCGTGGAAGGTCAGAAGAGTAGGCCACGGTAGCTGACCCGGTAGAGGATGCCACCACAGTATCCAAATCACTGGTGCAGTATAGCATTGTGATCATGAAGGCAAATGAGGTGACAAAGCCAATGACTAGGGTGCTCATCAGAGCACGAGGAACAGCGGTTGTCGCATTCCGGCACTCTTCGGCCAAGTGCAAGGCACCATCAATACCCGCGTACATGTAGTTGGGAGAGACAAGCCCCGTGAGAAAAGCCACCCCGTCTGAGTTCCATCCGCTGCCATTGAGAAAGGTCGCCCATACGCTGCTTGATGCCTCATAGCGAGACGCCGAGCGAGCTAGGCAAGTCACCATAATAATGACGAAACTTGTGAGGGTCACGAAGACTGCCAGCCTCATTAGATGTCCTAACTTGGTACTGGGCCAAGAATAAAGGAGACATACATGAGACGTCATGAAACCAGAGGGACTTCTTCAACAGGGTTGTATTATACAACAGGACCAGCCCATTGATGGACTGGTAGATTAAGAAATAGTGCCATGGCTGCGCTTGATACTCCGAGTCATAGAAGAGGGCAATACCGAGGATGAGCTGTGCTGGAATGATGGCAATCCCAGTGCAGATAGCAATCCACGCAAGCATGTTCGAGACGCCACAACAATAACTCTAGATACCACATCAATGTTGACCTGGCCTGATATCTAGTGAAGGAGAGGACATACCAATGCCCGACTTAGGCGTTGAGGAGCCAGAATGCTCGTCCAATGATACTGCCCGCCAGCTGTGGGATAGGTACTTGCGAGCTCCGCCAGGGTCAGGGTACAAGCACCGACCAAGAAGAAGATCAGAATCAGCCCATAGACAAGAGTTACGGGCCCACCCTGGACGATTGCAAGAGCCACAGTGGCAGCAACCCCCGCCCAGCTGTCACAAATAATCCAGCTGGCAGATATAGTTTGTAGAGGGGTCAGTTTCCGCGTGCCTTCTGGCTGAAAGTTGAGTCCCTCCAGACAATCCAGGTCACCGTGTTGGATGGATTCTGCGTGGGATGAGGGTGAGTCATGGCACGTTATTCGGAGGCTCAACAGCCCAAAGGACACTCACGTCTTTCGGCATCGAGATATCCTGCTGGTCCAGTGAACGTGGTTTAGTGACGTGCATGTTTTTCTTTCAGGAACGGTCCACTCCATACCGTGCTTGGGCTTTGTTTCAGACGAGTCCATGGTGGGTGTACTATAGAAGAGAAGCTCGATTGCTGCTAGTATTCAACAGGTCAAGATTCTGCTACCAGCAAAGCGATAGCCATGTATGTTCTTTTACCTCAACGGACCTCCCAGAAGGGAGTATATGTACCAAGAAATCGACGAAGAGTGGCATCTCCGACCATATCGTGGCTTTTGCGGGGTTCGAATTAACTTTCCCCGGATTACCAAATTCGGTAAAAAAGGAGAGAAAAGCATTCCCAAACGAACTGAGTTACGGAGTTCTTCGACCCTCATAAGCTTCCTCTACGTACTTGGCAAACGTAAAGATTGGTCCAATGACGTCTGAGGATCCATGGTCCCTTGTGGTGCTCCGTTACGTTAGCCAAGGTACAAAATGTCGCCACCAACGAGACGATAGGCGCATGTTTGGAAAGGAACAATATAATCAAACTGGACAGTATTGTCAAAGGAGCCAGCTACACTTTTCAGTTTCATACTACCTACATTGTTTGTGTACATACAGCACGCCAAGATTTCAAGCTCAACGAGGGATACGCAAGGGGGTGGCTCATCGACAGATTCTTGCACATCATCATGACCTATCATACTACGGAGTACATAGTAGGGGATGGACCTATAAGTGAGAACGAGCGACAGGGGGTTGTCGCAACTCCTCTACCACTGTCACCGCTGCCCGAGTGCCCTCCTCGATAGCGCCGTCGATGAAGCTGCGCCAGCCCACTGCCCAGTCCGAGTTCGCAAAGAGCACGTTTCCATGCCGGCACCTAAGTTCGTCTAATGACTTGGACAGAAGTTGTGGAGGCGAAAAGAACCATGCGCCCTTGGCAAATTCATCCTTGCACCAGTTGTGGAACACCTGCAGCATTGGAAGTCAGCAACTTGATTTAACATATGCCACGTCCGAAACCCACCAATCGCTTGATATCCATGTTGCCAGGAGACATGTTCTCCACCGCCCTTTTAGTCCCGTCAATGTTCTCTTCGGGTTGGATGTGGTTATGTGCACCCCCGAAGCACACAATGTGTGTGTTTCCTGCGGGCGTGGTACCATCTCCGATGGCGTAGGCGAGCTTGTTAAACGGGTACGAAATTCCCGACCAGGACCGCATGTCGGGACTGGAGACCTCTGCGTGGACCTTGACGCATTGGTTAACATGACCAATACTCGCGGCAGCTGTGCGCTGTGGGCTCAGTGGAGGTGAAAAGATCACGGAACTGAGCACATTCAATGGAATAGTAGAGATCAGACGGGCACCACTATACTGGCGGCCATCGCGGGTTTTTAGCACAACCCTGTCGCCATGGTCATTGATCGACTGAACTGGGCTGTTGAAGGCGTATGATAGCCGTCCCGTTGCCAATGACTCGCGAAAGAATTTGATAGCGAAGCTGGATTGCCCACCCTTGAACTTGTATGAAATTAGATGCTGCAGACACCCCTTGTAGGAGTAGTCGCATAAAGCCCACCAATGAAGGAACTCAAAGAAGCTTGTCGTTTCAAGAGTCCCACAGCTGCAGAGCAGGATGAAGCTCTCTAATACAGCGCGTTCATTTGGCGTAAGTGACTGAGCCAGCGTGTTGAGACGGTCCAAAGCCGACATGTCATCGTATTGCCGGGCCGCAGGGTTGTGGAAGGCGTCGTGCGGATAGGGAATGATTTCCCGGCCCATCGCACCGTCTACGTCAACGAACTTTTCCAATGCACTGGCAAGGAGGGCATCCTTCGGATGGTCAACGGAGGATCTTGATTTCAGGACCGTTCTCATGGCGGGATGAACAAACCTCTTCTAGATGGCTAAATGTTGATGAGCCTTGACTGCTAGTGCGTAGTTCAAAGTGATTCACGCCCCGAGAGAAATCAAAGGACGGCTCCAATTCGCTTCTCATTTGGTATCGGGAGACTTCTCGCCAAATATGCGGTTGCCCCCAGCTTAGCCAAGTACCTCCCATCTCAAATGGATAACCGCCAATGTTGGAAGACCAGGAACGACCCCCAATGCGATCGCGCGCTTCGATAAGAAGTACTTTAAGTCCTGTGGTTATGTTCGAGGTCAGCTCATCTTTTTAAGTCCCACTGACAGAAGGGGTGGTGTACCTGCGAGACAGGCATCTCGAGATGCTGTGAGACCCGAATATCCCGCCCCGACAACAACTACATCCCAGTCCTCGGTTGTTGACAGCACGTTCGTGGAAGGTGATATGACACTAATAGATGGTACACCTTGACGTAGACCTGTGGTCGCAGTCCACTGGTACCCGTCACGCGAAGTCATTGTATTCGGACTTGGCTATATTACTGGTTCAGATAATGTTGAGGGCGCCGGCTCTTAGAAGATGAAGTAATATGGTGGGAAGTGGGCATGGGGAGCGACCGTGTAGATATAGCTCGTAGACAGAGAAAGTGGAATCATGATCAGAATGAAGACACCACGCCTAATTTGGCTGGTATACGTGAACCTGCCCTATGGGGGTAATAAGAAGAGAATTCGGGACTAAAAAGGTTGTCAAACTAAAAGAAACCCGAGACTCGTGGATGGTGGAGGTCGATGAAAATTACCGCATTCGGGCAGTCAAGAGAGAAAACGTCCTGTGGGGCTGAACACAATCATGAATATTAGATAGAAGACTGTGGATTTTGATTTGATCTATCTATTTATCTATTCTTTTTTTCTTGTTTTTTTTTTTTTTCTTTACCTTCCCTGCAAAATTATGTTACTCCCAACACACACGAAGTAGACGTACATACCGTCCTCCGAGTCCAGACCTCACCATAGACCAA